GGCGATACTATCTGAATGCACTGTTGTGGCCGCTAGTTTGACATGCTAAAGGTCCTTGGATATCCTCAGTTCCGAGCCTGGAACGTACAAAAATTCCAACCCGAGTTGCATTACACAGCGACCAATGTCTGGATGGAATACCAAAACAAATGGCATTAATATTTTGATTTTGTACGGAACTGTGGAACAGATGTTGTCACCACTCGCGGTTGGACAAACCTTAACCATTTTGCGACCTATACCCATCAGGCATGATTTTTGGGGCCATTGGCCAAATGATCCAAATGAGCTGCTTGGGAAACCAATCAATTAAGCCTGCTTGGGGTACATTGCTGAGCATGGATTCATTACAAAAAAATCTGAAACTGTCATGGCTTGATGCAATGTGGTAAACCCAGTGCCCTCAATCACCCCATACCAGCCCCAATGATTTCCTACAAAGGGTTTGTACAAAAATTCATCTCCACATGGCCACATGGTAGGTTTTTATGGCATTGGGTTTGCCACATGATATTTCTTTGGACGAGAACAAACCGCAATGAATTGCATGGGATTCTTCAAGGTTCTGCCAACCCTGGCCATGGCTCATAGGACAACACGGGGTCCTACAAGACGGAGCTCAAGGAACGCACCTTCGATGCAGTTGGGCCGGCTGGAAGGCAAGGAGACACCACAAACACATACAAAAATGGGTTGTTGCGGGAAAAACGGATGGTAATATATGGTAAGACAATGTAAGACATATATAGCAAAAATATTCAAAACACCTTGTAATTGATCATGTTCATTTCAAAGGGAGTTCCGACCGTGAGTTTGATTGCAAGTTCGATGAGAAACTTGGGTGTCAACCCGGGTTTTTTAAATGTATCAATTTGTTCAAAGCCAAGGGAACATGTAAGTTTTTGATGGGTAGGGAAACGTCATGGCGATGGCAAGAAATTAAAGGGCCAACTAGAACAAGAAATGATACCACAAATCCAAGAGGGGCAGTGGCAAAATGAATTCCAGTAAATGACGTGGGTCCATGTGAAAAAATGCAGGTTTTTTTTTGCCCCGCAACAAATAGAAAACACACTCCCATTGGAAAGTCACTAGTTATACAATTATGAATTGATTGAATGGTGACAACTGTTTGTTCCTTTTTTCAGGGGTTGCTATGCTTCAGTCTTGCTGGCCTAGATCACAGGTAAAGGTGTCATACTTTCAGGGGTAGCTATGTGTGCTGTACCATGCTGTACCCTTTGCCAATCAAACATGGCAATCGGAAATCCCCGGTAATTGGAGGTCTTAGTGAAAAAAACATAACGGGTATTCTCCATAGCTATGTTAAAATATGTTAAATTGCCAGAGGGTATGTTCCTGGCATACCCTGCAAGTGTCGCACGTGTTGGCAGGGCTTCCGTCCTTAGCAGGGAAAAAGCGGATGTGTCTCATCTTGGCTTGGTAAACTGGTAAACCAGAGCAAGTGGCTTAGTTCACCCCACAGAGGTGAACATGACCCCCAAAGGTCAACTACGCACGCAATCTTAGGAGTTTATGTGTTGGGTGCACCACCAACCACCATATCATTCAGTGGGTCAGCTTTAGGCGGGGTTGGCTGAACACTACATGCAGAACATTGACAGGAAAACAGCTGGGCATGATATGTCAGCAGTTAGAGTTAGAGCCAAGAACTAAACTCACCCTGGGTGGAGTACCAAGTCATGTTCCTGTTGTAAGGTATCTAGGATGGTCCAGCCACATACACGATGTGTTGAACTGACTTCTGTTAGTGATTCAGCGTTTCTTGATGATTACAAAACATCTGATTGGTGGTTTGGATCATTTTTTCCATACATTGGGAATAATCCCAACTGACTTTCATACCGAACCCGCAGCAACCAAGTCATTGTAACCCCATAAGATACCACCTTAAATCTGCATGAATCCCTTATTGTATCTTATTGTTGACCAAGTTGAAGTTCTCCGGGGACTGAGTCACTGAGGTATCCAAGTGATGGCGGTGCACGCCTTTCGCAAGGTGCAAAGCGACCTGGAACGTCAGGAAGTGGCGCGCACCTCGATGCGGTGACACTTGGGTGGTGACACTTCGGTGGTGATGGTTTTTAGCCTTACCGCTCTGCTAATTTAACGACGAGGAATCACCAACTTGGAGTTTGAATATATAATTTGAGATGATTTACCTGTTTCAGTACCTAAAGACACGGCAACTTGCCATGACTTTCCATGGCTACTGTGTTTGTTTACAAGAGGGTAAACCGAGGAATGGATGTATACATGACTCGGCTGGAAACTATGTTTCCTTGACTGGGTTTCTTTTTGTTACGATTAGCAATGGATATTGATCCGCAGATGTAATCTGGATATGTGATCGCGAGCTTCAAGAATCAAAGGCCACAAGGCCAGGTCACAGATTTGAATCTAGCTGGTTGGTGGTTTGGAACATTTTTTCCGTATATTGGGAATAATCATCCCAACTGACTAATATTTTTCAGGGGGATTGAAACCACTAACCAGCTAGAGATGAAAACAGGGATGTTCCGAGCTGTTCTTGGCACATGATAGCCGATAGCCACAATTTGGGTGGAATTGGTGATTTTTCCATAGGTCATAGGTTTGCTGGAATATGGGGTGTGATCCCCTAGTGACACCCAAGAAAGTAAGAAACATGATGATCAGGGTAGCCGTTTTTTCCCGAGAAACCCCATGAAATACTGATATTTATGTTTATTTCATGTTACTTTGATATATGACGGACTTACAACCAAGCTTGCGCCCAACGTGATGCCAGCATACCAAGATAATACGCATCCAACATGTAGGCAGTGACTCCTCATGGTCCATGGGATGTGATCAGCATTAACAGCCCAATGGGTCAGTGGAATGATAGTATTGCCATGTACATCATGGAAACAGTATTTCAAATAGTATGTAATGAATCAAAATTATACATAACATACTATAGTTCATTAAATAGTATATCAAATACTATAGAAATTGCTATGTATCATGAGTAGTATTTCAAAATAATGGAAAGCTGACATGACCCATGAAATATCCAAGTTTTGCAACGTGTTCAAAGGGCTGAGTGCCTGAGTGCCTCGCATGTTCATAGCGCAGCCGTAGCAACATCCTACACTTGAGGCATGTTGCACGCCTGGCGAGAGCTCAAGATCTTCGATGCTAAGGCGAGATAGCCATGGCCCAGAGTAGACAGAATAATATGGTGAATATGGGGTTTAACCATCAAAAATATTGGATGTGTGAGATTTAACCATGAAATATGGATGAAATGGGTGCTTTGACCATCCAACAGTCTGGCTTGATCAGTAAATCATTGTTTTCTTGATGACATAGTGGGACTTGAAATATATGATTTCTAATCAATAAGAAGTTACGTTTGGGCTGTCCGAAAATGGCGCGCACCGCAGAATTGCCTTTTAATAGGCAGGGTGATGAAAAAAATTGGCATTGTGCGGTTTCTCATCATTGTCAGACAAGCCTTTGTGTAGGCTATGTCCGAATAGCAGTTCATTGGTTTCAAACCTCTGGTAGAGCAAGCAGCAAAAGATTTAGCCAGTCGCAAAGCAGATTGCCATAAACATGTGCTTTTGCATATTCTAGTCTTGAAGAGGCCTTGTCCCCACTACACCATCCAAAAATGAAGCATCCATTTCAATGGAAAGCCCTCATGAAACGAAACAAGACTTTATAGAAACATCTATGTTTCCTGGTGATTTTTTTCCTGTGATTTTCCCAATTTCTAGATGTTTTTTCCATTTTTTCCCCCATATATGTCCTATTAAAAACCACTTTTTTTGTTGGGTTTTCCCAGCCGCAGGTTCTGAGTTCCATCGCCAGCACTTTGAGATCGAACCAGGCTCCATCAAGTGGCTTGAGAAATGAATCCCCGTCCCACCTTAAAACACCAGGTAGGGAATTGGAAAACATATCTGAGTTTAGCAGTTTGTTTTTTATTCCAGATGTTGAACTACGAGCTTATTCTATATATATTTGGTTTGCATAGGTTTCAGTATTCCAACGCAGTTCATTCTTGCTGGATGGATGCGTTCTACACCTGCTATCCTCCCCCGGACACTTGGACAAAGCCGCAAAGGCGCACTCGCACATCTTGGATGAGGCGGACGAGGATGATGCGGACGAGGGAGCGCCGGCCACAGCGGATCCTCGGACAAGACCCAGAAGCGGTGACCGGGTCACCGTGTTGTGGGTGCGAGATTTAAAGAAAGGTCAATTGGAGCCCGTGCATTTCATTTCCGGGATTTGTTTCTGTTGGTCATTGTGTGATGTTACTGGGATGGAAAAAAAATGTAACCCAGCTCCGCATGGTCTCGAAATCTCTTGGAGTTTTCGAGGGACGGGAAGATCCAGCCACTAATCAGGCTGCGACTACCTTCGAATCCCAGGACCTCACTGTTGTTGATGGTCACTCATTCTAGCCTGCAGGGATCACCGAAGTAGGCGATGATCTAAAATGGTCAAAACCTGTACGACCCGGAAAAGCCACAAATCTTGGTCACTTGGGGCCGGATTATGTATCCAGTACCTCCATCCAAGTTCTTGGGTGCACAAGTTACGTTTCTTTGTTGGACGGATCCATGTGTTTAAAGATGAATTCATGTGAATTCACCATATTTGTGTTGAGTAACTTCTGCTGAAATCCCCATGTTGACTTGTTTCCAATTAATCATATATGCTTACCATATGTTTACCAGATGTTTTTCCATATGTTTACCATGGCACTGTTTACTCCTTTTATCGCAATGACCCTCCAAGACCCCCCCGGGCCCACCCAGGTTCCAGCTGCGACGACTGGGGGCGGCCTGAATTCCACGCCGAGCCGAACCGCCACAGGTGAAGCCACGGCCAAGAAAGCCAAGGCTCCCCGATTTGTTGGTTCTCCATGGCTATCCCACCTACAAATAAGGGTGATAACTATAGTTATCTGGTTGGTGGTTTGGGACATGTTTTATCATGTTTTATTTTTCCATATATTGGGAACAATGATCCCAACTGACTATACCACCAACCACTTATGAAACCACTTGCTATAAGCGGGATGCTCCTCCAAGGCGGGGTGAACGGTGAACCTAGCCATGAAAATTTCAAGGCAGTTCACGTTGTTGCTAACATCTTACTAAACTATGGACTCCTAAGATCTTCAACGTCGACGAAATCGGTGTCTTATTATTTGTGTCTTCATTAGAAAGTGGATATATCTTAGATCTGGTTGATTTTAGGGAAATCATCCCCATTCATGGCCCAACATGTCAGGTTTCAGGTTAGTGAAATATTATAATATGTTGTAAAACAATTCCCCATGAACTCTTTGCTTTGCCCATCGCAGGTGCCCAGCACTGGCGCCCCGCCACCTCGCGCCCCGGCTGCGAAGCCAGCGCCAGCGGCGCCCAAGGCGCCTTCAGAGAAGGTGCTGAGTACCATCAGCAGGACGCCGTCTGGGAAGCCGAACTTGGTGACTTTTTTTTTGCGGACATAAATGAGAACTGGTGCATGCGGATGCTTGTTTTTTGGGATGTATTTGGACTATTTTGGATGTTATGGTTTTATGATGTTCTTTTGATAACGCGTTAAGGTGGCTCAATTTTGCGAGAGATCATGGCATCCCCACTGATGCGGTGCCTCCCCCGGTCATCAGGATTTTGACGGTGCCCTTGGAGCGGCCCTTCGAATTGCTGGGGCTCAAAGCCGACTGCAAGGCGGATCCCAACTGACCCAGTAAACCAATCCTGTATCCAATTTGCAGGGTCATTTCGGGAGGTTTTATGAAAAACGTTGAACACATATCATATTCTGGTTGATGGTTTGGAACATTTTTTATTTTTCCATACATTGGGAATAATCATCCCAACTCCAACTGACTTTCATATTTTTCAAAGGGGTAGGTATACCACCAACCAGATCATATTGAATCATATGAATTCATAAATGTATGGAAAAATGCAACAAGAAAACCATGGATTTCAGTACTAAAAATTGTCTTTCAGTAATAAGTTGATCGAATTTTGGATGATTTGGGGTACCCCAATTTTAGGAAACCAGAAAAAGAAATCAATGGCCATTTCAGGATCCTAGATTGGAGGTACCTACCGTATATAAGGCCTATTTTTTAGGCCTATGTAAGGGAATATCCCCACAAAATATGGCCTCAATAATGGTACAGTACCTCCATTTTAGGATCCTGGAATTCCCATTGAAGAAATGACGAGCTTCGGTTTGCATGGACCTGTTTGAAACCACCTTGCTAGGCCTCCGAGATTCGAACGGCCTATCGAAAAATCGCCCTGCTGATCCACCCAGCGGCTTGGTTGGAGGCAGTGCATGGGAGAAGCACCAAAAAATGGGGATTCAACATGATTCAACCACATGAAAATTGAGGGTTCATGCAGTTCATGCACCATGAAATTGGGATTGATCCATTTTTTCAGCATGCGGATATGTCGGACTTTTTCTACGAAAATGGGGATGGATGGTGGCTTCATAGTTTCAATCCATCAATCCATGGGATGCCGGGCATCCGAGGATAAGAATCCAGGCTCTGAAGCGAAGTGCAAAGAGGCCCTGATCAAACTACAGCAAGGCCGAGAACAGGCCGGGCATCACTGGTGGCTGGGGAGCTGGGGATGGGTGGTCGCGCATGTGAAATGGAACACAGCATCAATAGAGGGCATGTCAATCAAATTGGGCAGTGGGTAAAAACTCTATCATTATGTACCATGGTTTATGTTTTGGGATGAACATGCCAGGTATTTGGGTGTTTGCTGGGGTCAAAATGGTTTTGTTGATCCCAGAAAAAGGCGGTGCTCCCTAGTTATAAGTTGGTTTATGTTGGTTTATTGCCCACCTAAGCTAACTGTAATCAATTATGGTACCCAATACCCATAAACATCCATGAGCCATAGATTAGATGGCTTAGTTGCAAGTAAGCTTAATCAGCTAACTATCTGGCGCGACCTTGTAGCGTATGCTTGCGCATCCGTGCAGCCCAGCATGGCCCAGCATTGAGCAATGGCGACTGTAGCGAGGCCCAGGAGCAGCGAATCTTGGATCGCATGATCATCCAAGAATTTGTTGTTTTTTAAGGGGAAAACATGTTGATCCCTTGATCGAAATCAAGTTCACACAAATTGGAGGTTTGTACAAGTTTTGACATCTGAAAAGCGGGTCTGTTATAAGGCGTCAAGTGTCAAGATGATAAAATCGAGAAACACTGAGATACCCGCCCAGCCGTTTGATATCATTGAATTATGTCAACTGAGTCACTCCCAAAAAATCAACATGGAAGATTCACAAGATGTGATCAGATGTTCTACGTGGCTGGTGGCCTTCAAAGCTGTCCCCTGTTGAGCCACTGCAGCTAGGATTCTTCCAATGCGCGTGCGATGGGCCGAGGCACTGAACGTTTCTTGGGGGTCAAACTGCTTGGCCGGTGCCCCATAGTTAGCGAAGTTGGCAAACAAAACTCCAATACCTGGGGTCTATGGTGGGTATGCGTACGCTTCCTGGAGGTTGTAAATCAACTTACAACTGGGGGGCACCACCCTGTAGGGTTAGACTACCAGAGGGCAAATCGCTAGCGAAATCTTCCCTCAGGTTACAGCCGAGGTTTTTCATCAGATGCACACGCAGCTGCTACCAGATGCTCGGTTGGCAGTTCTTTGTGGATGGGCCCTGCTCTACCCTCCATTAGTTTAACATAGCATAGCTATATGATTTTCCTAAAATTAGCTATGTTTGATTATTAGAGGGTAATTGGGGTGACTTGCTTTTAGCTTAGCTGAACTCTTCGAGAAGGCGATGGAGAGATATGGAGAGAAAGAATTGGGTAAAGTTCACTTGACGAGTCACTTGCGAACAGTTTGGGTTCCTGAGTCTTGCACAGCTTTGCTTACGACGTAAAGGCAGTTATAAAAAATCCCAGCAACCAACCATTGGGGTATCATTTTGCACTATCACAAGTAGGTGTATAATTAGCCGCTTTCACAAACCCCAATTGGGGATGGTTGATGGCATTGAGCTTACCTAATGTTTTTTGTTTAATCATTTTTTGGGTGGTGAATGGATGTGAATAGCACAATTTTAAGCCGTCATTCTAGTCCCCTTATTTAATTGGGCTATTCACCAAGAAAATGTGGAAGAAATACTCAACACCTGGATGTAAACGTATCATATCGTTCATACCTATAGTTTAAAGGCCACATTCCCGGGATTCTTAATCTCCCAATCCATATGTCATCCCCAGAAGCCTCAACTCCAATGACCGCAGCGCTGCTTCACCACCCAGCTGCAGCGGGTTCTGCAGGTTTTTTGCGACATGGCACCTGGTTAGAAGAGGAACTCCAAGGTGTGGAATTGACTGGGATTTTACCGGCAAAAATAGATAATGGGATGGGATTTAGTTAGCTAAGTTGGTTTAATGGTGAGTATATGTTTGGCCGAATGGGTAAGAAACCAACTTATAACTCATTTTTTGTCATTTGGTGGATTTTTTTTGTCACTTTTTGGTCATTGTTTGGTCATTCTGGTGCAACTTTCTCAAAAATATGAAAAATATCAAAAAATACTCCAAAAAAAAGACAAAAAATGACAAAACATGTCAATGCTTTTCGAAAAAAAATGAAAAATTTTGCAACCTGCAAAATTGTAATTTTGTTTGTCATGTTTGCAGTTATTTTTGTCATTTTTGTATCATTTTTTGTCAGATGCATATCTAATTTCTCAAAATGACACAAGAATGAGAAGAAAATGACAAACAAAACGACAGACCAAAACTCAAACAACAAACAAAATATAAAAAATGACAAACAAAATGACAGACCAAAACTCAAATGACAAAAAATGACAAAACATGACAAACAAAATGACAGACAAAATTGAAATGACAAAAATAATGACAGACAAAACTGAAATGACAAAAAAAACAACAAACACGACAAAAAAATGACAAATTAAACATTTTGAATTGTTCAACCTTTGCCTCTCTAAGTTTCAGTTTCTTCTAATGTTACGGTATACCCGATTTTCAGACACGCCCATGTACCAACATTATGTGCCATTTAGGCTGCCATTTAGGCTCCCATTACACAAAAAACAACATGATAGACGAGGGGGGTGGGGGGGTGGGGTGGGGGGGGGTGGGGTGGGGTGGGGTGGGGTGGGATAATAGCGTCATTTGCTGTACGTTCTGATGCACTTGCAGACATACGTCATGCTACGCTGCTGTACGTTCTCATGCACTTGCAGACATACGTCATGCTACGCTGCTGTACGTTCTCATGCACTTGCAGACATACGTCATGCTACGCTGCTGTACGTTCTCATGCACTTGCACACATACGTCATGCTACGCTGCTGTACGTTCTCATGCACTTGCAGACATACGTCATGCTGCGCTGCTGTGCGTTCTCATGCACTTGCAGACATACGTCATGCTACGCTGCTGTACGTTCTCATGCACTTGCAGACATACGTCATGCTACGCTGCTGTACGTTCTCATGCACTTGCAGACTATACGTCATGCTACGCTGCTGTACGTTCTCATGCACTTGCACACATACGTCGTGCTACGCTGCTGTACGTTCTCATGCACTTGCACACATACGTCATGCTACGCTGCTGTACGTTCTCATGCACTTGCACACATACGTCATGCTACGCTGCTGTACGTTCTCATGCACTTGCAGACATACGTCATGCTACGCTGCTGTGCGTTCTCATGCACTTGCAGACACACGCTGTGCTACGCTGCTGTACGTTCTCATGCACTTGCACACATACGTAGTGCTACGCAGCTGTACGTTCTCATGCACTTGCACACATACGTCATGCTACGCTGCTGTACGTTCTCATGCACTTGCAGACATACGTCATGCTTCGCTGCTGTACGTTCTCATGATGGTGATGATGATGATGAAATTGCGACTGATGCTAAAGTTTCGTTTTTCAGCGTTTTGTGGTCCCCCCTGTAAAATGTTTGAAAAGTGACAACAGCGAGGGCCCCCTCAAATGCCCGGCACCATGTTTTTCATTGTTTTTCTACATCTCCCTCCGGCCCACTGCAGCTTGTCAACTCTTGAGTCTGATGGAGGAGCACGCACTGCAACCGAATTTGATCATTTACAGCTCAACCATGAGCGCTGCTGAAAAGGCCTCGCAGTGTCGCTTGGCTGCTCCTAAGTCTGTTGGGGCTTCCAGGCTTCCATTGGGGGTGACATGGTGTCGCAACGGGAGTTCTGATGTTCCTGGCACTGGTTTTAATGGCTGTTTCCATACGTGTTCTCACGTTGGCTGCATGTGATCAGAAATCATGGAGTCATGATGCTTTTCAGTTATCCTTATTTTATTGAGACACTCCTCTTGCCTACTTTGAGGATATTGGTTTATAATAAAACAAATGCAACCTACAGAATCATGATGTTTGATCACATTAGCCACTAAGAATCACACTTAGACTTTTGGCAGGGTATCAACAAACATCCAAGAGCAATATCATGCAATACCTTTAATAACATAACATAACCCACAGAATCACAGGATGTTTGCCAATTCCTAAGGGTGATCACCACATGGCCGGCACCGGGGCTGAGGCCTTTGTAAATCTTCAGGAGCCTGGGCTCCAGAGCTATCACTGCGGATAGCGTCAGCTTTGAGGCTGCGATGAATGCGCCGTGGCAGCGATAAATACTGCGCCCCAGTTGGATTTTTGATGGGGCTAACTTTAGGCAACCAGAATGGAAGAGTCAGGAAGAAGAATGGGACATCCAATACTGCCACAATATTTTTTGCATACTTACCCAGTAGGTTTCACATGGTTTCATCATGTTTGCATCCAGGCAATGCTATGGTTCGCTTCCCGCATGCCTTGAGGCATGCACTTCAGGGCAGCAGCCAGAACTGGCTATGGAAGTGGTTCATGCAACTTGGCCCTGGGTCACAGAGCAACATGGAGGGTTCTTGTTATGGAGGATCCCCAAAACCATGGATAGTTGTTGCAATAGTAAAATAGCCCAATTTTGGATGATTTTGGGGCACCGCCATATCAAGAAACCACCATGTTGCAATTTTGAGGCTACACTTGCATCGGAAGCTGAGAGGTGTCAAAAGACGGCCATAGTTTGCTCCAAAGATGTGCATAATCATAATGTGCGGCCAAAAAATGCTCTCTGTTTGGTTCAAGTTGACAGTGTCACATGGGAAAGTTTGGAGCCCAGATCGCCTGGGATATTCCGCCCAACAGCTTGGCCCTGAGAAATGTGACGAGAGGTGCTTTTTAATTTTTAGCTACTAGGAGTGGGTTAAGACACCATACTATGACCCAGTTATGCCTGGGATTTATACCCCAGTTAACTGCCCTTTGGTTATTGAGCATAGCTGTGGAAAGCGAACCATTTATAGATATGATAAACATGATAATGTATGATCTATGATGATCAAAATATCCTTTCACCTGCCTATAGACATAGACGACTGGTTGGTTGTGTGGAACATTTTTTATTTTCCCCTATACTGGGAATAATTAATAATCCCAACTGACTAATGTTGACTAATGTTTTTCAGAGGGGTAGGTATACCACCAACCAGACGATAATGATGCTTCACCGTTCTTTAAAATGGTGATGTTCCATGGCTCCGACGTTAGTCGTGATGTGACCCCAGGTCTTGGGGTGGTGCGGATGCAGCCTATCCCCACTTCATGGCTGAAAAAATCTGGTGCTCAGCCAGGTGTTTTTGCGTGTTTTTTTTTTTCGGAGATATGATCAATGGGAATTTCAGGATCCTAAAATGGAGCTACTGTACCATTTTTGAGGCCATATTTTAGGGGGATATTCCCTTACATAGGCCTGAAAAATAGGCCTTATATATGGTAGGTACCTCCAATTTAGGATCCTGGAATGGCCATTGATATGATGTTTTGCTCATGATCCCAGCCTTATGAAAGGGGACCTGTATATCTTGGCCCAATGGAAGAAACCCATTTTTTTTAAACATGAACCATGTCCATATATTGATTTTTCGCCAGTGAAATTTGGCATCTTCGGCCCAGGTCTTGAAGCCGCTCGAAATTGTCTTTGAAGCTTGGCTGTAATAACTGAAGCCCATCACTTAGATATAACCCCTTTAGCCTTTCATATGAAACACCCCTAATATCAACCATGGCAGATGTAGGGGAACACACGTATTGTTTCGGGATGAACGGGGGCTTGGTTCCGCCTTAACAGGCTGCTCCTCCATCCATCTTCAGTTGACTGCCGCAGATCAGGAGATCTAATCAAAGGTTACCAACTAGGTGGTCAGAAAGTTAGAAACTACTTTTCTGGTTGGTGGTTTGGAACATGAATTTTATGACTTTCCATATATTGGGAAGGATATCCCATTAAATCCCATTAATTAACTAGTTAGACACTATTGCTGTAACCATTGTTCAGCAATTAATTTCTTAATTGTCTTACTGGTGCTTAGTAGGGAATGGATGGGAATGGGGGAACGGGATGATTATTGATAGTTATTGTGGATCATTCCCTCATTCCCTGCTAAGCACCAGTAAGTTTTTCAAAGCCCATCTGTTTGGTGGTTTGGAACATGGGTTTTTTATTTTCCATATATTGGGAAGAATAATCCCAACTGACATTCATATTTTTCAGAGGGGTTGAAACCACAAACCAGTTTTTTTAAGAAAGTAAACTGAGAAAGATAGTTAGAGCCTAATAGCCCATTGAAAATCTGTGTTTTGTTCTGGGCAGCTAAAGTTATGCCTTCTGCCCCTGCTTGACTCAGGACAGTGGCCTTGTGAGCCGTCTTCTGTCAATGAACGGATTTTAAGGAAACATCTAGGGGAAGCCAAGGTTTCTACATGTTTCTAACTGTTTCTGGTTGGTGGTTTGGAACATTTTATATTTTTCCATATATTGGGAACAATGATCCCAACTGAGTAATATTTTGCAGAGGGACCACCAACCAGGTTCTTTTTGGTAAGAACCGTTGGGTTTCGCGGGGACGGTTTGGAAAGCCTGGGGGGTTGTCACGGCCTCCGCTGCGACCGTCGCACCTCTGGAAAAAGAGGCGGCGCTCTTTGGGTCGACAGGCTGGCGAATGGCATACGGATGCCTCAGTCTTGGCAAAAATGTAAATCTTATATAATCTTATTAAGGCTTTAAGGATCTTAAATGTCCTTTATCAATGCAACTTCAGAAATATGACCTTCCTTCCAGTGGTCCCAATGCATCTGCATTCTCGAATCCCAAGCGTTGATGGTATGTACTGCTATTTAGCCACCATGTTTTTTGTTTTCATCCCCCCTTAGTCATTGACTTAGCCATGGATTTCCTTTCATCTTCGCTTCCTATGGTTTTTGTTCGCCGTCGTCAGGCAGAAAGTGATCTGCAAATGCGCGCGTGGCTTGCCGAAGGGGCGGCGGCGGAGGGTTCTCGTCGAAGACCCCAAGATGAAAAAAGCACGATTAAAACAGACTAAAACCATCTAAAACCATGGTTTTCGAGGAAGGTAGTTATTATTACATATAGGTACGGAAGGAATCATTGTGGAATACCGATGGATATTGTGGATAGGCAAGATCAGGCTGGTGGCCTGTTGATCCTTGGGCTGGTTCACCATCCCATTTGCGGGACATTTTCCAGATCGAACTACGTGGGTCTGGAACATGGCCATTCCCTAAACCATGAAGTATTATATATATTTATATATATTATATATAGATGATGACTTTGTTTTGATGATCAATTGATCTCCTTAAAATATTTGCCGGATTTTTTTGCAATAGTTAATATCAAATCCCTTCCCCAAACGAAATCATGGTGAAATGCATTTGAAACGCCGCCACGGTCGCTGCACGCCACGCAACAGCCAGGAGTGGTGGCACCAAAAAAGCGGCCTTCAGCGATGTGATGGTCCTTGGGCAGTTCTGGGTGTGTTTGGGGTGCGGAATGGTACCCTGGTGCAAGGTGCCCCAGTTCGGAATGCCAACTTATAACTGGGCACCACCTTGTAAGTGATTTGTTTAAGCCATAATATCCGGGGTATGGCCGATATAACTTGTAATGTTTGTTTTTTTCTCCACGGCCCAGTAATTGGGATGCATATCCCAGTGCTGTAGATATGTAACATGGCAATGAAAAATCCCAACTTTGAATTGGAAAACATGGTTTTCCATGTGTGATTTTCCATTGCCAAATTTGCCAGGTTGATGAGAAGTGGATAGCAGTGGAGGGTAAACCCCTGGTTGGGTACTTTGAGTTGAACTGGTTGAAGGGAAAACTTATAGGGAACAAATTTATTTGGGTGCGTTGTACCTTAGTTTCCTGCAAGTTTCCAGTATGATGCTTTTAAATATTAGATTCGTCGACTTTGTGAATAATTACCGTAAATGGTGGTCTTTACAGACCAGCTTTTAACATACATGGGAGAAAATCTATAAACGTTTTAAGTATATAGATGTATATATAGATTTTCTTCAACATACAGAGAAAAACTACAAACATTTTAAGCATATAGATGTATAGAGCTTCTGCAGGTACCTAGGGTTGGCCATGTCATCGTTTGCAAGATCAACAATATGGGGAGGTTTCACCAGCAAACAGAAAGGTTCTGTGGCATGAAATGACCATATTTGGGGATATTTGGGGTAGTCTCCACTGCAATTCGTTGCCCTGGAGAACCTTCCAATGGGTTTTTCCCCACCTGCCAGGTGAAGGTTGTTAGATTTTATGTCAGTTGCCTGGTCCTCCTCCTCGTCCTCTCCTCTCCTCCTCCTCTCGTTGTCCTCCTCCTCTCGTTGTCCTCCTCCTCTCGTTGTCCTCCTCGTCCTCCTGCTCAACTGCCACCCGCGATCCACAGTGTTCTCTGCCGGACCTCAACCACGACCATCCACGTCAGTGCGCCCTGCCGGACCTCAACCATGACCATCCACGCCCAGTGTTCCCTGCCGGACCTCAACCACGACCATCCACGCCCAGTGTTCCCTGCCGGACCTCAACCACGACCATCCCCGTCCAGTGTTCCCTGCCGGACCTCAACCGCGAGTATCCACGCCAAGTGTTCCCTGCCGGACCTCAACCGCCAGTATCCACGCCAAGTGTTCCCTGCCGGACCTCATGAGATATGCCAGATAGAATGCCAGAAGATATGCCAGATGGAATGTCAGATAGAATGCCAGAAGATATGCCAGATAAAATGCTATGAGATATGCCAGATAGAATGCCAGAAGGTATGCCAGATAAAATGTCAGATAGAATGACACAAGATATGCCAGATAGAATCCCAGAAGATTTGCCAGATAATATGCCAGAAGATATGCCAGATAGAATGCCAGAAGATATGCCAGAAGATATGCCAGATAGAATCCCAGAAGATACCAGAAGATATGCCAGATAGAATGCCAGAAGATATGTATGCCAGAATATATGCCAGAAGATATGCCAGATAGAATGCCAGAAGATATGTCAGATAGAATGCCAGAAGATATGCCAGATAGAATGCCAGAAGATTTGCCAGATAGAATGCCAGAAGATATGTCAGATAGAATGCCAGAAGATTTGCCAGTAAGAAAATGTAAAAATGTCACGGTGGGGATCACACGAAGTAAAGTAATTATATATCCGTGTTTGCCATCCAATTCTGTACGCTCAATCTTCCAAACAGCCCCAATAGCCCAATGGAGAACCACTTAGCATATATAGATCCTTTGGGTTTCGGTTGGGGTATTGGCTGGTGATTTCAAATGCTTGTTTGATTCATCAACATCAGTGGACGATTGAGTTCATTGCGGACTTGACCATCCCGGTTGGTGCCTGCAGCAATCTATCTACGAAGATTAAATATGATCACATGGCTATCTTAAATGGCCATCAATCATATTTAATCATGCATAATCATTGGCCATTTAGATAACTATCTATGATTATATAAATGGCCATCTAAATTGCCAATGATGGAGATGATTTGATGTGTTCAACCATCGATTTCAACCGTTTGAGTAGCCATGCAGAGACAGACGTGGGAGTGTGTTTTTTCGGGGGTTCCAACCTACATGGGATGATGATCCCAATTCTCAGGGGATGGGTTCAAACACCGACGCTAAAACAACTGAGACAGCCGACCTTGGCACTTCGGCATTTTCTTTGATCAGTGATGTCGAATGCTCTTGTTCCTGGCAGATCCTGGAGTATCCCGGAATGCTCTAATTCCAACATCATGGGTTGAGAATGCATAATATGCATATATATATATACACACATAAAAAAAAATAGTAGTGCTTTATCCCATGGGATTTTTGTTTAATTCATGCATCTTGAAACCGACCTAGCCTGCCAACATGTTAAATAGATGCAGGCAGGTGAATTAGATCCCCTTCTCACGCGCCTTGGTGTGCTAAGGATCTGGGGGAGGCAAAGCCTTCGAACAAGTGCCAGTACCCAGGCATTGGGTGTTCAAAACTCCTGCCGTGAGCATATCATATGTTGCATTCTATGCGCAGTACCAGAGAAGATGAGATGGCTAGTGAGTGGATGGGAGCAGAGAAGCCATATTCAATCTGAATATATTGGTTGATGACGTGTTTTATTTGTTTGCCCCATGTATGGGGCAACAATAACGGAATACGAGACAATGCACTATCTATCTAATCTAATCTAACCTGATCTAATTTAGTCTAGTCTAATCATCCAATCTAATCTAATTATACTGTATATTTGGTGCGCCATTCCCAATTTCGTTGTTCGGCATCCCGGCCACCGGGAGGTTGCGACCTGCCTCCCTGCAAGCAGTGCCCAAATCGCTGTTGCACACGAGCCCCGGCGCAACGTGAATCATGTCATGCCTGAAGCTGAAGTGATGAACCACAGTTATGGCCCGAAATACCAATTACAAGTAATTACTTATAATCCCATTTATGGAATGTGCCATCCCATTTATAACCAGTTATAGCCATTTATAATTGGTAAACGGCCGCGACTGCAGGATATAGGGTGAAATGATTGAAATTGATGAACCCTCAGTGAGTCCAACTTGTTGTGTTTACTCGTTCATCCTGACGGTGCATCTCCCGGCAAGCTTTTTCCGCCCAGGAAACATCACACACTGCCACATGCTGGCGCGCAGCAACTCGGCCCAACATTTCTCGGCGTTGATATGTTCCTTCACCCTCCAGGTGAATGGGCACAGAAGCAGAACAGATCATAATGGCATAGGTGATAGAAATTAATCGCTTCATCAAAAAAGTTGACTTTTACCGACGCCACCATCTTGGGCCATGTTGGGACCATGTTCTTGGTGGAGATCACCACCATTCCACTTTTTTCCCTTTTGTTCTTATTTCAAGTTGAATCTTAGATTGTTCCTTTCAAACCATATCTATTTTCCCAAAAAAAACATTCACAAACTGCCGCCAGTCACCTGTCAGTCGCCACCCGTTCGATTGACGCCGCCGGCGAAGGCAAAGGCGGGCTGCACTGCTTCTTCCATCCGCCACCGCGGTCCTGGGCCCGCAATGCGGAAGCTTGAGAGGTGCCAAAGCTGGCAGGGCACTGTGGGGCAATGGTGTGGGGGGGGCCTTGAGGGTGGAAATAGATTGTAAGCATTTGGAGCGCGTTGAGATGTTTGAGATTACTGCACTTGGATGTTATTTGATTTGATTATTGTACTTGATCTTGGTTGAAATCTTCAAGTATCTTCAAGTTGAGGTAGACCTGTCCACATGGAGATGACAGTCGGAAAGTTGAAGATGGATACAGAAGTGACGCGTTTAGCTCAATGCTGGTGAAGTCATCTAGCCAGAGTTGTAGCTGCCAGCGAGGTGGAGATGGTGGAGTGGCATGCACGGCATGAAGTGATGCCGGCAGAAATGGGAGGATCTGACTGGTTGGTCAATCACCGGCATGGGTCAGACATCTGGTGATTCTCAGAAGCCTACAGTAAGATTGTCACCCTGAACAAGCATCCAAAAGACAGATCATGGAAACTCAAGCAAGATGAGTTTGGAAGATCAAAAAACAGAAGTCCCAAGAAGTGAAGTGCATTCGGAATGGCTTGTTCAGGGTCTAGGTCTGTTCACGTAAGTGGCTCATCCTACTTAAGATTGATCGCAGCCTCTGTGACGATGGTCGTGCAATAACAACACAATATATATTCTGGTTGGTGGTTTGGATTTTTTATTTTCCATGCATTGGGAATATTAATCCCAACTGACTAATATTATTTTTCAGTGGGGTTGAAATCACCAACCAGATAATATATATCGTACAATGACATTTTTCCATATTTGATCCAAAGATGAACGACGTTTTCGATTTTTGTGCCGCGTTGATACTGCCAATGTGCCATGACAAAACACTGCTCCTGGAAGGACAGGTTCCAGCCATAACTGGGTGAACCAACCCAAGTAAACCCTAATGAAAAGGTTGCTGCAACCCCACTTCGGATAGATACATAGACTAGGTATACATAGATGGATAGATGAAAAGATGCAGATTTAAATTCACATAGATACAGGTAGATAGACAGATATTGGCTAGGGATAGCTAGATACATTATATAATACCTTAAATATATTAGATAATTAGATACATTACCATCTGGTTATTTAACATAGCCATGGAAAATCACATTTTTTAATAGGTAAACCATCTATAAATGGGCCATCTATACCATGGCAAACTGTTACATAACCAGAGGGTAGATAGGGTTCCATCATGTCTGGGGCCATCTAGATGGATTGACACCAGTGGGTCTCCATTGGAATCTCCGGGTTGGCCTCTCGTGGCCCGGTGGCGTGGATCGTATCAAGGCATGAGGACCCAAAACGGCTCGCCGCGCAGTGGGTGGCTGGTAAGGGCCGATCAAAGGGTGGAAAAGCCTGGGTAAAAACAACGACAGATGGATTTGTTTTATGGGATTTATACAATGTGAGGCCCCCCAGTTATAAGTTTGTTGGTTTATAATCCCCATTAACTATAGTTATAACTAACTACCATAAACCATAGTTATTGGAGTTATAAACCAACTTAGCTATCTTGGGGCCTCACATTGTAGCTGATTTATGATAGCTAAGTTTTTTCATAGATCCAATAACGCACAGCTATGGTATTTTATGGTTTTTAATAGTAGATACATGTAGATACAACAGTTGCCGGGGTTAACCAGCTTGGAACTAGGAGGGCCCCACGAAAGCACTTGGGATCATGCCACTTAACTGCCACGTATCGGTAATCAAACATGGCTATAGCTGGAATTCCTCTAAATTGGTGTTTTAATTTGAAAACATCTGTAAATTTGGACATGTTCTAGCAAACCATGTTTGATGGTGAGAGGCCAATCCCATCATCTTTGGCACATTGGTTGCTATAGTTTTTAAATATGTGTAATTCCGACGCCTTTTTGGGATGATGATATCAATTTCAGGGGATTGAAACCACCACCAAGCAGCACAGCCGCTTTTTCATCAGCCTCGTTACCCCTTTTTTATGGGGTGAAGCGGTGACTTAACTCGGAGATATCCCAAACGGTCCAAACGTTTGATCCTTCACTCCCCATATCTCCAGTTTTTTGGTGCTTAAGCCCCCATCTTCAAGATTCTAGTGTTGCTTAAATCAGTGATTGGTGGTTCACTCCCAATTCATTGGATGCTTTGGTGCTAACATCACCATCTTCACTGGTTCCAACATGGTTAAACACTCAAAAAACACATGTGTTCATGGCTAAAATCCTTATTAACACCATTATTCATTGGTTGAATCAGATATGTCTTCCTCTTTTCATTCTCCTGAACTCCCCAAAAAAAAACTTGGAATCCTCCGGCTCGCCCTCTTAGACTGGCTCCTTTGGCGCGCAACCGCGCTTCGCCAGCTTCGCCACGCCATGCCCAAGGGGAAGGGACTCTCGAGCCCAGTGCCTCGGACACCTCGGTGATTTGGTCATTACCCGGCCTGGGAATGGGAAAACCATAGGAAAACCATAGGAAAATTGCCATCTATAGGTTTCCCATCGTTTTCCCATACTTGGTGGTTCTTTCCACTGAGTAAGTGCCAGATATAAATGGATTGCCCTCTGGTAAACTAACTAGCAGTTTGCTAACTTGAAAATGACCATAGACATAGCGGATTTTCCCATTAATAGCATGGTGATTTTCCATAGTTATGTAAACGTTTACCAGGGGGTAAAATCTCAAGAATCAATGGTTGACTTACTGGTGCTTAGTAGGGAATGGATGGGTTGCTGGGGGTTGCTGGGGGTTGCTTTGCTGGGGGTTGCTGGGATGATTATTACTAGTGATTGTGGATCATTCCCGAAAATTCCCTACTAAGCGCCAGGGCCAGTAAAATGATTTTGGCAAAAATCCACACGAATACTGGAGTTGAAGCTTTTAGTTTTGCTTGGCTTAAAAATGATGACCTGGATTTAACCATCCAAAATGGTGAATAATGGTGATATTTTCGGAGGTAAACCTAATGCCAGAAACCAGCCCCAATTTTGAGGTTTCTGAAATTGGGTACGCCCAAAATTTGGGATGATGTATCATGGTTGGGGAATGGGATAGTAATCACCAAGATGATAGAAAAGTAAATCATCACTGCACTGTTTTCGTAGGGTTTTGTTTTTCAAACTTTTGGGATTGCTATGATGAGATCAAAATCTAGACAAGTTATAGCGACCTCACTGTTTTTTCGTCACCACAAGATGGGAATTGGGTTAGTGACTTTCTGTGACTTATTCAGATTCAGATTTCTTCGTGGCGAAATTGGCCCCGCCAAGTGAAGGGGGGCTTCGTATCTTGGGAAAATTTGGGAAACCTTAGATGGGGAGTTTGCTTCCTGACCGTATTTGGCTTTCCTTATTTTGCTCGTGATGTAAAAAAAAATCTTGTACCGCAGACATGGGATGATGATCCCCAATGACTTTCATGTTGCGAGGGTTGAAGCAACCAATGGGTTCTGACTTCCAGTAAATGCACTTATTCTGTTGCTATGTTTAGGGGCTGGTGATGCGGACATTTTTCACATCCATTTTCTCAGTGAGTCGATTCACAAGTGTGTCGACACAGAGGGTTCAGGGATGCGGCTTGTGCTTGGCTCCATGCTCAACCAGGGTTGGGATGATGGGATTTGGCTTGGTGAAACTCGGACACCAACTGATTTTGTATAGAATCAACGAAGAGGCGTATAGCTATTCCTGGTGTGTTTTTATCCTTCTCTGATTTTTCCCAAGTACGGTACATCTATTTCGATACTGGAAATCCGGCCCCAGTCCTAACCAAAAACTGACACACATAAGTGCAAGCTACAGGTCCAACGAAATAACCTCCGCAGCCCTAAGGACAAGGCGGATTCAAATTTGACAGGACCATGACTGCGGGTGTTGCTGGGTGGACTGTAGCGGAGGGGAATCCAAGGCTGCCAGGTCAGGACTGTCTTTAGTATGGATCAAAGGACCTTATTTGGATAAGTTAATACGTGGTTTGGGTATGGTTTAAGAAACACAGCGAGGCAAAAAATGAAAAAACCATCGGAACTGCAAAGGTAGGTTCTCCAACAGTGATTGTGTTCAACACAAGGCAGATGATTCCAGACCTCAGGTCATGCTAGAATTGTTTGGCTCCATTGCCCCATGGGTTGTTCATGGCCTGGGGCACGCACCACTGAGGTCCCAAAGAGATACGTTACTGGTTACTCAAGTCATGGTTGCTTGATGTTATTTAGCCATTTTTGCTAGGTCTATATACTTTGCCACTTTGGTGGCTGCAGAAGTGTGTTGGCGTCTTTTGTTGCACCATGTTGCGCCCCCCTCATCCCTCATAATTTCAGTGGTGAAATCCACTTTTTTTGGGTAATGTTGATGCTCAAATGGTACTTAAATGCTATAGTTGTGTCGCTCGTCCTTCTCAATCCCCATTTTTTTGGATACAGATGTTATATAGACGATTCACCTGTTTAAGCTCGGTGATGTTCCATAGCAAACTGTCAGGTTACCAGAAGGTATGTATCATATGTACCCATACCTCATTATATCCCAGAAAAAACAGTAAATCAATAAATGAATACAAATGAATAAACAAACAAAGAAAAACAAGTGTTTCATCCCATGCCAACCACAAATCACCAATATCTTTCTTGTTCCACCAACTAATAAATATATATGTATATATATATATACCTTGATATATAAATATTATTTTATTATATTATTTTTACTATATTATCTTATATTATACAATATGTTATATTTTATTTATATATATATATTATATCATACTATATTATAGTATATTATATTATATTATTTTATGTTATATAATATGTTATTATATTATATTTTTTTTATTTACTAAGCAAATATATTTATATATGTAAATAAATATCAGCCATAAGCTATTATAAAAAAAAACATGAATATCCCAGTAGTATCAGCCAGGAATCATCGATGGCCTCTCCACATTTCGTTCAGAGCTGGCTGCCAAGCAGCAACAGCTCTTGACGCTCGGCTGACCATTGGATGGAACGGGGTGCCCTATTTCCAGAAACCCAGGTTTCTCCTTTGAAATTGCGGATTTCACCAGAAAGAATTTTCATTTGAAGCACCAAGAATTGTAGATTTAGCATATGCTTGCCAAAGAATCCTTGCTTTTGCCATGAAATCGAGGATTGAACCAAGCACTTTATAGGAATCATGTCACGGTGGAATAAGTGGTATGTAATGGGATATGTGACTTATGCCCAAACCAACCCTAGGCCTTATATAGGTTTCTCTCTCCCAGACATCGGGGGATATACCATGGATGTGATGATTGTTGTTTAAAATAGGGAATTGGCGATGGATTTATTCGACACAGATGCGGCTAACACCATCATGGGACCTTCATAAAGCAAGGTAATTTACCACCAGTATAAATGATTAGAGCAAAATATTGGTTGTAAATCACTAGAGTTGGAATAAGAGAGACCTGCCTGGGGTAAGATTTAAAAAATGCAATCAAGGATATAGGTCCTAGGTTCGGGGTTGAACATGGTCGACAAAATGCAAAACGTGCCCAGGAGAAAACATGGCTTCTTAATGTTTTTAAAACCCTTGGGGGGCGAAGTGGTTGGGAGCCTCTACCCTGAACAAAAACAGAAATCAGGCAACCACCTGATGCAGGTGAAGGGCTTGTTATTCACGGTTGATGTAGTAAGCAAAGCACGACGGGGCCTATCCAACAAAAAAATGCGATTTGCTGAAACACGTCTTTTGGAGGAGCCTGCTATTTTCTCTGAAACATGGCAACGGGATGCAACGGGGACGTTGAATTTTGAGTTTTTTTTCCTGATGCACAGTGGCTGATACAACGCATTCACCCAGATTATCCAGATTGACAGGGAAAGATCTGATAAGTTGGCAAAGAAGGAACATGTCCTTGTAGTCACTTGCAACAAGGTTGCCAGATGATGGGAAAAGTTTATTTTTCGTTTTAACCGATTCAAAAGGGTTGCCAGATGGTGGCAGCATGGGGGGCAACTTCAGAGGTATCACTTCCAATGAGGATTCTTGAAACTGTGCCACTATGGCCTTACCCAATTGGTCCTGTTCGCAGCAAAGTCAAAACGAGCCTTGGGCTTAAGTTTGAGATCCTGGAATTCACGCAGTACCAAATGACTGATATATCCATATATTTTTTTCCCCCGTTTTTGTGCCCCAAACCATACCACCAAGAAACTGCCCGATATTCACAGGGAAGATTTCAGCAAGCCTGACAGCAGCCAAGGACCAAGCTGGACATCGAGTTGGAGAAGGCCCTTTCTGCATATGCGTGTGTCTGGAAATGGGTATACCTTGCTATTTAATGGTGGATGTGGTGATCAACCAGAAGAATTAGGAGTACCCTATTTTCAGGCAAACCCATATATACTGGAGATTTCGATGAACAAGTGTCGTTTCAATTGGTAACATGCCCGTTTTTGCCCCGTGGTGTTTGTGAACAAAAAATGTTCAAAAAACACAATGAACAAAATCATTTGGCGGTTTTCACCCCCATATTCTCAGCCGATTTTCTGTTATAAATTTTGAGCGTGCGCCAATGTTTTCAATGCTTTTCCCGTGAGATAAATTCCATGAGAGAGCCAGTGGGATCCCACAGTCGCTTGGAAAGTTGTTGTTGTTTTTTTTAATAGATGTTTTTTTTGAATGATTTCCGCAGATGTTGTGTTTGTCAACCAAGAAAATGTATGAACATGTATGATCTATCACGGAAGTTTTGCTCGAATTTCACCCAACATATTTTCTTGAGGTTGCTCTATTTCGAATGAAAGGTGGGATTTCGGCAAGGGGAAAGGACATGCAACATCATGCAACATCAATCCGGATAGAACTTTCAATCAGCTTTCCATGAATTTCTTGAAATAAAGCATCCATTCTTGGGTACCCCTATTTTATAGACCCCCCCAAAAAATAAGTTTCACACAATATCTTCCAGACATGGATGTTTCACCATTATAGTCATTATAATCCCATGAATTTATCATATTGAGCCACATGATCCTTATATTATCCCATATTAACACGAGCGTGGCAGATCCCTAGATTCACTAGCATTCCCCGGCACGAGTAGGACTTATGTGGTGGAGAAAAATAACCATATCATCCCCATATTAATTAAGCCATTATTCCATCATTAAAATCCCATGGACATACCATATTATCACACATGATCCCCATTAATATCCCATTAGTATTCAAATCACCAACAATAAGGTATATCATATAGATATTTATATATATATATATGTATGTATATATATTGTCATTCTATCCCATGTTGGTTGGTTGATATTATACCCATATTATCCCATGAATATCCCATATGAAGCCATATTTTCGTCCAGAAATTGATGTTTCACCATTAACATCCCATGAATATACCATATTATCCCCATATCATCCCAATAATCCTCATGATTAAGCCATTTGTTCACCATATTTTTCCCATATTACAGTACCCTCTGGTAAATCAACAAAACTAATTATGGAAAAACACTGTTTTTCCTAGGTAAATCAACTATAGATGGGCCATGTTCAATAATTAGTTATGTTAGTTTACCAGAGGGTAAGATCCCAGTAACATTAACCAACAAATCACCCCATGGGGCACCAGGTGAAGCTCTTGGCCCGGCCGCTGCCGCCCGCGGCAACGCCCGCGGCCGCGCCCGCTGCGTCGGCCGCCTGGGCCCCGTCCGTCAGTACGGTGGCGACGCTGCAGCTGCCCGGGGTCGTGGATGAGGAGGTGCGGTGTGGCCGGGTGGGCCATGATGATGGGCTTCAATGATGGAGAAAACATGGAAATGTTCAATGGGTTTAGATGGTTTTATACGGTTTCATATGGTTGAAGTACGGCTTTAATAATATGGTCTGGTTGGTGGTTTGGAACATTTTTTTCTTTTTCCACATATTGGGAAGAATCATCCAACTGACTAATATGTTTTGATGCTTGGTCCCCCCACGCTGCCAAATCACTTAAGCAAGGTTATCCAAACCGGCAGCGGAAAACCAGACTTTTATGTGGACGAGTTTTCTTATCAAAAATCTATCAAAAATCAGGATATCCGGCTGTTAGGTTCATTGTCATCTGTTATAGTGACTTTAAATCTAAGTTGTGTTTGTTTTTTTGGAATGGCCAAACTCAAATGTTTGATAGTTCTACAAGATCCCTGGTTAATTTCACGGTGTTGGCTTAAAAGCACACGTTTCATCCGAAAATCTCGCAGTTCATGCGCCAAAAACCAGCCTCAGTTGCCAGGAGAACGCAGCCACCGACGTGCCCGAGGTGGAAGGAGTTTTCCACAGCGTGGAAAGCAGCTTGTGCCTCGGTCACGCGATACGGTCACCGGCCGGTGACCTTACAAGGTGAGGCGTTGCCAACAATAGCTGTTGAAGAACATCACTTAAGGTGAATTGAATACGGTTGGTTAGGTGGAATAGAACACTGATATATACATATATATATAACATTATTTAACTGTAGTCAATGGGCTCATAAATGCTCATAGACTCAAAGACTTACAGAACTGGGCCTCACTTTGCAGAGCCACGGAGATAAAAAACGGTCCCCGTCATGAAATCCAACCAATAAGTGGAGAAGAAATCCTACACCAAGCCAGCCCCTTCCCTAAAAGAACCAGATCTGGTTGGTGGTTTGGAACATTTTATATTTTCCATATATTGGGAATAATCATCCCAACTGACGAACTCATATTTTTCAGAGGGGTAAGTATGCCACCAACCAGAGATTGATGGAGATTCATTTCTGCTAATCTAACGGTTAGACCTGGAATCCACGGCGTTGTTTAACTACAGTAAATCCATATAGATCATCTACACATGTGTCATATGAATTTTCCATGGCTATGTGGAAATTACCGAAGGGAAATTAATTATATCATGGGTGAAGTGAACACTACTTAGACGAGTTTATGGTCATAGCTACCATCCAACATATGCCCACTTATGACAGGTTATGATCCAGTTACTAAATTTTACTAGCCTATTCATCTCTACGCCACGGCATTGCAATTCCTTCCGAAGCCAACTGTATTGAGTGTTGATGTTTTGAAAGCCAAGGAAAGTTCACATGAATCATCTTCCAATCAAGGTTTTATTGGTTCCATGCTAATTCCAGGGGGGCCACCGATTCAAGCTTATGTTTTTTTGGTTGCAATCTCAATCCGCAAGCGAAAACTCAAAGTCTTTGGACGTCTTTCGATACTTCTTATTGGACAATGGATGCCCCCCTGGGACGGGAAAAAATGCGTAGCCGTGTCTAAAAAGATAGCAACGCAATTTGCCAGTATTTCAGTAGGAAATGTCTGTTTTGTTTTTTTTTGGAGTTGCGACATCTACATGTATCATATATATGTGTGTGTACAGGTATATATAAATATATATATATGTATGTGTATATATATATATATGTATATGTATATGATTTCATATATATATATATATGTATATATGTGTGTGTCTGTGTGTGTATGTATGTGTGCACATGCAATGATGGAATTTTGTTACGCCAGCTTTCTCAGGCCATCAGTGGCAGAACTGCGGAAGAAGAAGATGCCATGGATTCACAAGCAGGTGCCGCGGGTCGCTGGATGTCGCCATGGTATGGTGGCACAAAATGCCTGGAAAAATGGAGGGAAAAATGGTAACACAAATTTTGGAAAGTTATGGGGACTTGGCTAATTACAAGAGACTTGGGCGGTTTACCTTTTTTTTTCAGGATTTAGTGAGCACACGTGGAGAATCATGGGGATATAGCTGGATTTGTCCCAGAATTGGTGATGTTTGCCCAGCGTACATCACAATCTGAATGACAATGAGTTTCCCCATGAAATACCCTTTGGTAATTGAACAGAACTATGGAAAATTATCATTTTGAATAGACAATCCGTTGTAAACGGGCCATAATGGGCCATGTTCCGTAGCTATGTTTGATTACCGGATGTTACCGGCGTTCGTAAACTCCTGTAAATTTGGTGGTTCTCCCCACGCTCCACCGGGGACATCACCAACATGCAGCTGCTTAGCTTAAGAGGGCAATGCCAGGAGTATGATGATATAGTGATACATACAACGTGCAGATTTACACACACACACATATATATATATACATACACATACGGATTTCTATATTTATATACCTGTGTATCCTGTGTATTGTACTCATATGAAGATGATCTTGGAAGGCTCGTGTTCGACCAGTTCTTACCACTTCTGCAAGAATTATTTTGCAAAAGGCTTTTATTTTGTATCGAGCTCACGCGGTTTTTGTGACAGCAGATTTCTATTTGCTTGATTTCCTAAATCCATGTTTCGCTGGGCGATCAGTCTGATAAGCCGTGATCACAGATCCCACCGTTCGCAAGTGGAGTCTTTTCATAGCCATACTCGTACTATTAGACCCCAGTTCTTCTGTATTTGAGCGGCCTAAAGCTTCATCCAGCCTGAAGATCCGAAACGGCATGAAACGGCCAGGGGTCAAAAATGATGTGCGAGGAAGAGGGCAATCAATCCCGGGCCTTTTCGCAGTGTCTTGGCAACCCAAGCTCGCCGAAAGTTGACGACCTCATCACAGAGGCACACCAGTTGATTCTTAGTAATTAGGGGGCAATGATCCCAAATGATCCTAGATGACTTTTTTCTAGATCGGTGAATTATGATCAATTACCTGGATGTAGAAAAAAATCAACCCCCTTCTTAATTAATAAAGACCAAAAGAGATGGGATTATCCAATTATTATCCCACTATATCCCCACTTCTCCTGGTGGTGTTCCAATCCAAATTCTATTCGTGCTTCTTCTTATCATCACCACTTTGATGGATAGATAGATAAATATCTCAAAAAATATCCCAATTCCAGTGCTTTCATGGGACTATGAAAATATTCGGGCGCCCGGCCACCTGACATAGGCATCACCAAGCCAAAAAAAAACACACGCTCCTTTCAGATCGCTGTGCAGCTGGTCCTGGCAATTTATCACAGTTTTTTTCGCTGTGGACTTTAAATACAATTTTTGGTGGAAAAGGCGGGGGGTGCCATGATTATTCTAAGATGCTAGTCAAGTTTAGCCCAAATCAACATAAGCAACTGATATATATATATATATATGTATATATATATATATATGTATATATATATGTATATATATATATATGTATATATATATATATGTATATATATATGTATATATATATATATGTATATCATGGCAAACGTGGCTTCCATTTTTGGCTTCTGAAGTCGAACAAATTAATCTATTGCCCCCTGCTGCTATAGCCCATACCATTGCGAGTCCCTGCCACATTCCACCAACTCTGTGGCTTGGAACCTGCTTGCCGTTTGGAGTTCACCGAACTTACGTAGACCCTTAGAATCGCCCCAGGTCATCCCAGGTCTTTGTGAGTTGCAAGGAGAGCAACTGGTAACTGTCGATCACAATTATATCTTCTCATTTCTAGAATCACCCATGGTTTAGTTTAGTGGGGAATTTAGTGGGGAAATTCCACATAATTGGTACCATTTATGGGGTGTTTAATATTAGGGTGATGGGATTAACTGATTGTTTGACTTGGTGGTTTGGATTCCCTCGGACCGCCCTGCGGTCATTATGACGACCTGCGGTATCCCACAATTCAATGCCACCAGGTCCCCGAACCACCAGTGAATCATTGCTTGACACGTGCCGTGGTCAGGACTTGGGTTGCTTTCGACTCAGAAAAGAGATTTGACCAATTCATGGGATTTATACCCATCAAAAGGATTCCCAATATGAGATGACCATAACCCATGTAATCCCCTGTGCCATGCCTTGACCATAGCACATATGGTTACGATTCGCCAACTTTGGTGCATGTGAACCAGCCTGTCTTCGCCAAGGTTGAATCCGGAGTATGCCACCAATCGCTTGAGGTGCGCGACCTTTTCTATGCTAGTTTGGCGGTGGAAACACCCTAATTTGTTTAAAGATATTTTTGGGGGTTAAAGAATTGGCATGTAGATCATCCACACATTTGATTCATGAGCTGTTTCTAATCCCTTCAGCCTGATTGTGAAATACCCCCCCAGTTAGCCCAAAATGAAAATATCCAGTCCTAAACCACCAACCCACCATGCTGAATGACTTACACCAGATTTTCGTACCATTTTGCATGACCATTTCAAGGTCCAATTGAATGAATTCTAAACTACTGTTGCAGATTGAACTAACTTTTGTTTACCGTCGGATGTTTTTTTGAAACAAAAACTAAGGACTAAGGCCTAAGGCTTCTCTTCGCCATCATGATTTCAAATGCATTATTTCATTAGTTTCAACCAACACTGCCATTAGCCATCATCGTTTCATGATCTTATTAGTTCATCCTAACATTACTATCAGCCATCATATCATAAGATGTCTTTTCATTTCTGTATATAATATATGATGGTTTCCTACAATGGGGCTATCCCTAATTCATCCAATTTAATAGGATTTTCCACTATAAACCATCCATATTGGGGTATCCCCATGTTCGGAAACCTCCATTTTTATAGAGCTGTCAGGCATGCGGCCATTGATGAGATCCCATCCGCAGAGGTCTTCAGGACGGCCGCGTTGTGGCATGGAAAACGGCCGTCTTCGTGGCATTGGCAAAATTACGCAAAATGAAGTCAATTCCTGGCAAATTTATGATTTATAGTGGATTTACCATGATTTACCCATTAAAACTGGTGATTTGTCAAATAACTGGTAGCCTCTAGTAAACGTTGACATATTTACCTGGTTGGTGGTTTGGAACCATGGATTTTTATGACTTTCCATTCAGTTGGGAATGTCATGATCCCAACTGACGAAGTCATATTTTTCAGAGGGTAGGTATGCCACCAACCAGAGTCAATTCCTGGCATTTTTTTGATTTGTTGAAGGGTATTGGCATTACTGACGGTCAATTCCTTGTTTATTGATTCAACAAATCAATTACTACGAAGTCCATTCCTTGTTTATTGATTTGCTGCATTCCTTAGAGTCAGGCAAAGGGTCACTCTTCAGACCTGATCATTCTAGAGGAAGCTGGGACTTGATTTGTTGATGGTATAATTGGTGCGTGGTTTCTCATATTTAGTGCTTTTCTCAACCAAACTTGAGATGATTGGTTGAGATGACGATTTTTTGGATGTGCTAATAAAGCCACCAAGGAGATAAGGATTTAGCATTTTGAACGAACATGGGAGTTCAGGGGGATTCGTGATACTCCTGAATTTCTTTGGATATAGCCTGGTTGGTCCAATTGATGTGCCGTACATGCATCTCTAGAGGTTCTGGTCCATGTACGATGTACACCTCTTATACCATACCTCTATCTTCAAAAGCTTGGTTACATTGGTGGTTTCCAGAAATGGGGGTGCCCCAAATCATCCATTTTAATAGGATTTTCCATTCTAAACCAACCATTTTGGGGACCCCCCATTGATGGAAACCCCCAATGGAATGTTCCTTGAGTATCGCCATTGATAGCCTGCCGTTCTCGCTGCCGCTGCCGCCAGGAAAGGTAGCAAATGGACTCAGATCGTGCAGCACAACTGGTTTGAGCGTTCCGCGGATAAAGCGCCGGCTGCAGATGTGTAGGTGATTCATGGTTACTTAACGGTGATGTTACAGAGATGTCATATTTTTTTTCTTCACCATTGGTGATTTAATGGTGATTTAATGGTGATCTATGGTGATTTATGGTGTTTTTGCATGTCGTTGGGATTCTATGTGTATTTATTAAGATTTTATGGCCCAAGGCATGGTAAAGCCATTTTTCCACATAGCTGATCTCATTGAACGGCCTTGGGCCAGCTTGGGGCCGTAAAGCCCCAGCAACTGGATGCAACTGGTACCCTCTAGTAAACGTTTACATATTTACCCTCTGGTAAGCTAACATAACTATTGAAAATGGCCATTTAGAGTGGGTTTACCCATTAAAAATGGTGATTTTCCATAGTTACGTAAACGTTTACCAGAGGGTACATATGGAAAAGCCGGACCATGAATGTAGAAAATCCTTGTCCTAGGGTTTCACCCTGTGGTTTTCCACACCTTTTCCTCACAAAAAGATACCATCACTGAGGGAAACTTCCGGCGCCGGTCCAAGGAATTGGTTTGGGCATGATCTACTTGAATGCCCTGTGGATCGCTATTGACATCGACACCTGGCACCAGTCCACTACTGTATTTGTAGCAAAGGTAGCGCCAATAGCTTGTAAAATATTGATAAGTAATGATCAATATGGTGTCAATGGTTAGTTGGGCTATCAGTGTCTTCAATAGTTTTTTTGGTAAATAAGATATATGTTCCACATGTGGATTATATATATTAAGTATATGATATACAAGCACTATAAGTTTTTTTTTGTAAATGATCATTGATGTATTATGTAGCAATATCATCAGCATATGATATCGGTATATCGTATAAATGGTATACCATTCTGAGTTTGGTAAATTATTAAAAGCACTACCTTCCAGTAAACTAACATAGCTATGGAACATCGCCATTTCAAATTGGTACATCAACTATAAATAACATGTATTGTCCAATAGCTTTGCTAAATTACCAGACGGTAAATTGTAGATTTGTTTGGATATATCATGGACGACTATCCTGGCATTTCGCGGGTTTATATATCTTGGATTGACATTTGGTAATGATTGATATATCATTAGTTACCATCCATTACAGATATGATCTACGATTCGTATTAATTAGTTACATTGATATCGTTAGTTACCATCAGGGTATTCATTAGTTATATTGATGTATCATTAGTTACCATATGTTACTATCATGGTATTCATTCGCTACCATTAATGATTGATATATCCAGTGATATTACCATCTGGTAAATTAACATAGACCCTGAAAATCACCAAATTTTAGTGGAAACTAATCTTCCAACCCCTATCTGCCAGGGTCTATGTTAATTTACTGGAGAGTATCATTGGTATATCATACAGTGCCGCCCCTGCTACAGGACTACAACAAGGCCCTGGTCATCATCGACGCGGCGCCAGGCGGAGTGCCTCCCAGGGAAGAACAGAGCAAAATGCTGGAGTTAAGGAGGATCTTGATGGATGTTAATGGATTTTTAAAGATTTTAGTAGGTTGTAATGGATGTTAACAGCAGTTTGTAATGGATGTTAACTGTTTTTAAATAGATTTTAGTAGGTCGTAATGGATCTTATTGTTTGGTTTCATAGATTTTAGTAGGTTGTAACGGACTTCAATGGATCATAGTGGGATGTAATGATACATATAATCAACTATTCTGATATGCGGGTCTGTCTGAAACTGGGGATGACTACAAAGAACCGAAGTTAATGAAGACAATGATGATAAACCATTGTTTTTGGGCATGCCCTAGTTTCAGACAAACTAATTCTTATAAGGACCATCCAGGTTAAGTATATGGATGAGTTTGTCTGAAAACACAGTACCTCCCCAAACCCCAGGGTTTGTTATTTGTTTTTTGAATAAAAATGAACCATTTCGGGGTATACACCATTTTCAGACACACCTATCATAATTATATGTGGAGTATTGTATGGATTAAGTGGGTATAAGTGGGTAATAGCCACGTGAAAGAAGCCCATTGGAATGGTGGGATGATGTGCCCACGTAACATGTGGGTTATTAACCATTGAAGATGCCGGTGGACAAACTGGCTGAGGTCCCCACTGGATTAATCGGTCATAGTCCCAATCCCAATCACCGGCAAGATATCTTGCTGAATTATGCCATGCTAAGCACAGCCGGATGATCCCTTCGAAATGCAGCTGCGCTGAGCCCTGACTCCAGCCTTGGCGACTGGCGTCGCTGCAGCCCAAACTGTCGATGTTGTTGGGCGGATTTACGAGATTGGCAGGTATCTTTGGTGGTCCGCACAATCCCCCTTTGCGCACGCCAGTTCCCCGAATTGCAGATGAGGAGCTGGCCAAACAGCAAACGGCACGGGCTGAGTCGATCAAGCTCACACAGAGATCCTCCTGTCGTGTCGATCATGGAATCTCTGGAGTCATGATGATGGCCCCGGTGCTTCGATTCATCAACGGAGTGAGGCGCGTGCCTGCATTCCAAGCCCCTGTGCCCCCTCAAGTGCCCTCAAGGCCTTGACCTCCTTTCAGCCGCAGCCACTGCCCCACGTCCTGTGTACCTCTCTGGTCCTGCATTCTCGGCTGAGTATGTATATATATATATAGTATATGTATATCTGTGTGTGTGTATGTATGTATATATATATGATAAATAGACACTTTTTTTAGGACAGGGGTTGGGTTGAAATCAATCAGAGAGTGGATATTATAACATTGCCAGGTGCATGAATGGGGCCCCATCCCTGCACGTACTTATTGGGGTTGGAATCCCACGATCATACCCACAAGCAAAGCATTAACAACTAAAATGACCATTGATATGCATTACCCTTTGGTAAACTAAGATAGCTGATGAACATCACCATTCTTAGTGGGTAAAGCAACTATAAATGGCCATTTGCAGTAGCTATGTTGAATTATTGGAGGGTAAAAAACAATAGAATTATAATAACCATCAACAACCATGGGTATGACCATGATTTAGAACTTCGTAGAACCCCCCATGGCCTACACCCAGTTGTGGAGACGTAGGTTTCATCGTGGTGGAAATCGTTTTTGGCATCTACTTCTCCACCGAGCTCTTCTGCAGATTCTTGGCCACGCTTGCGTGAAAAATGGCTGAAAATGGCCCATTGAGTTCGCTGAATCTAGCCAAACATCTTGACCTTTTCATGGTAAACTTAGTAAACCTGGTTGGTGGTTTGGAACATTTTTTATTTTTCCATATATTGGGAATAATCATCCCAACTGACGAATTCATATTTTTCAGAGGGGTTGGTTGAAACCACCAACCAGGTAAAGATCTCACCTGAAGGTCACTTACCCAAGAATTCTGGCCAAGAAAGAGCTTATGAACCGCCATGAACTCCATCAACTCATAATAGAGGCGTGGTAAACCCCTATTGTTTCGGGGGCTACTGGTGATTGTCTTGTGCACGCTCATTTTATAGAAATATCTGAATTGGAACGGCTCATGGTGGGCGAAACTGAAAGCTTGATTGTTGGCCACGAATTGTTTTGACCTAGTCATATTTCCGCGTAAAACATGTTCGCCGCAAACCAGACGTTTGCCCATGGCGGATCCCGCATATCCTTCGACGTACTCAATCCCCAGCATAGGGCCAGTGTTATTGGAATATCCAGGAAAAAAGATTCCAAACCGTAGAAACCTAAACTCCAAAACCCTAAATCTCATAGGCCGAAAACTCTAAAACCCTAAAACCCCATATCCTGGAAGTCATACCCACTGCGTGTACCCAGTGTTTTTGTTCATCCCTTTTTTCCGACCCGTTCCAAAGAACCTGATGTAAAGCCAGCCTGCTGAAAATGAAGGGTGTGTGTTTGTGTGTGAAAATATGGCGCCCACAAATTTGATAATTGAGAAGACGAGCTTCCTTATAAGCCTTATACATTGATGTAAATCTCACCATTTAAATCATTTTCAGACAACCCAAATCGAAGACAATGATTTTTTTTCGGTTGCCCGTTTGCCGTCCTTCCTGGCAAACGACATTTGAACGGCTTGGACGTTGGCTGGCACACATGTATAGGACCATGGGAGGCCTACCATGTGGTGCCTTGCGTTCGCGAACTGGTTGTACACCCGTACGATTGCATCATGTCCATTCATATCTGCCATAAACCAAGCAAGGGTGCGTGGCTTGGATGCTTGGATAAGAACCAGGCGATCACATGGGTTCGGCGAATGTTCATTGCCTGCCAAGGATACATGGCGTACATCACCACCAAGCCCCTACTCAGAATAGCTGGGCGTTTGGCAAAGAAAAAGTGTCAAGAGATCCCCATGTTAAGGACCCGTGTATCGATTATCAAAGGCTGGCTGAAATGGGTCAAGAGGTTCATTTTGGGGTGTGCCAGGTGCTTGAGTTCTTCTATGTTTTCTGGTCGGTCGCGCTTAGAACATTACTGTCAACAAAAGCGAATGCAAGGGTCAAACTGCTTATTTACTGGAGGCTAGCTATTTGATTACCTTCGAATTACTGGATGCTCAAAGCTTGAGATCCCTGTTTTCATGGAGCCTACTGTAGCATGGATTCAGGGTATCGGCACAGCGCCCCAGGCTGGCGTTCAAGGACGCGTGGTTCGTCTTTGATCTCCTTCTCGTGTTCATCATGGCTGGGATATGCAGACCGGGGGGGATCCCACGAGGGTCGTTGGAAAACACTTGGAAGTTGTTGCTGGCCACACGTTTTCAAATCATTGGAAAGCCCAAAATTTCAGATCCCATTCCCGCTTTTTTTTTGTATCAGAACTGGATCCTATTCTGTAAACAGACAAAACACTGATCATCACTGATCTATGTCTTGCCCTTGCATGGGTTTACCACATTACTCTATGGATGATCTCCTGAAAATGATTGTACCTCAAGAAAGTTCTTTGCTTGATTTGATATGATGTAAAAAATATGTACCCACCTTTAATCAAACATGGCAATTGAAAGTCCACCAAAATCCCCAAAGTAGACGGTGGTTCATAGCTGGGTGTCTTGGATGGACGCTAATTCGTTGCACAAGAGTCAACCATAAGAAACGCCATTCATGTCATCCCAAAAGTGTTGGCGGTTGTATCCCTCTCACGATAAATCCCCTTTCTACATATTACACCGATATGTTGGAAAATATACTCAGTTTAACTGTATTAATTACACCACTCCAGGATTTAGAAAGGTGATATCATACAGTAATTGGATACTACTTGGATCTTACTACTATCAGTACCTCATGAACTGACATGACTTTAATTTCCATGGTAGGAAATCACGGATTTTCCGTAGCTACGACAAAGGTAATCCCACAATTGGTGTCCCCCATTTACAAGTTGGTTTATACACCCCATTGATCCTAGTTATATAATGTTATATATACCCCAAGAAACCGAAGAGTTGTGTCGGTTATCAGTTATTCATGTTGGCATTTTGGCATGATCGGTTTAATCCAGATCATCCATATCAGTGGAGAAAAAAACACCTGGTTTTTCACCAGTTGTAAAAACCAACTTAGCTACATATAACTTGACCTCGCTAAGTGCGAATGTGTAACGTTTCCTCTCAAGCTCTGGTGTATGGAAGCAATTCCTAGGGTTTTGGGGTTTGTTGCGCAGGGAGCTAGCACTAACTGGTGGGGTCTGGCTTGTCCTTCACATTGTTTTGCTGCTGGCCCTTTCGTTGTGCTGTCTGCCTTTGCCCTTGGAATTACTTGTGGACTTTTTCTTGCGGTGTTCCTGGCCTGGACTTTCCTTCGCCCCTTTTCTGTGGACTCTGCACCTCAAAGCTCTAGTTCTGCTGCTTGGGATCGTGTGCGGGCCTACGTGCATGAGCCTAAGCCATCACACCAGCTCTCACGACGAAGAGGACGAGGTTAATCTCTCCACCCAGTTCCAGGGCCTCTTCATATCTGTCCGGGGTAGTGCCTCCAGCTCTGTGGACTTTGTTCAGCGCATTGCTGCAGTCTCTGACACTTCCTCGCTCTCGGCCTCCCCGATCCGCCCAGCCTCCTCTGCTTCCTTGCCCAGATCTCTGGAGTCAGTTCGCGAGACCAGGTCTGACATTGAGGCTTCCTTTCCTGCTTGTCCTGTTTCTTGGTTGCGTGCTGCTGGACGTCTCCAGGCCACTTCAACAAAGTTTTCAGGTGAGCAGAGGATCCAACGAGCCTGGAAAGCAGGAAACTGGGCGAGAGCAGTGCTACGTGAGAGAGTGGGGTCGCCCAACAGAACCCCTGCCATTGAGCTGCCGAACAGACAGTACGTGGTGTTGCGAGGGCCTGGCGTTGTGGCTCCAGCCTTCTTTGACTCCTCGCGTGAGCTGTTCAGAGCGGTGGGGCACTTGGAGGGATCAGACACCATCTGTCACGGCTTCCCCACGAAGTTGGAGGCGGAGGTCTACGTGGCAGGATCTGAAGCATTGCTGGCAGACGAGACAAACTAGCAATGGAGCACATAGAGCACATCATACCCCTGCACTCCGACTTCTCAGTGTCAGGTTTCCAACCCTACGTGCTGGACCTGTCCTCAGCAGGGCTGGCGGAGGAAGAAGATGTTTTCACTTTGGTTTTTGTCGTGATAAAAAGGAACCAAGGCTTGTTGGCTGCTTTGCCAATGCATGGACTGTCACAGACGAAGTGCTGCAGTCAGGTACAGTCGCCGATCGAACAGACTTGGTGGGGCCTCATTTGAATACAAAGGTGGATGCGGCTTTGATGTCCGAAGAGGCACCGGCGTCGGATCCCCTTGCTCTAGATGGCCAATCAGTCGACGTTCTGTTGGTGGATTTCAGTTCCGACATAGCAGTCTACATGAAAGCTCTCACCGCCCCAAGCCAGCTTCAAGGTATCCTTCTCTTCGACCCTTCCGAGATTGGATTCATCCCTTCTCCGTCCAGCCTGTCTTCCATCGCGATTGCTTGGACTATGGATGTTGCCCAGTCAGCGCCGGAGAGAATGCAGTTTTACTCAGCAGACGAGGTCCCAGAAACACCTCATCCAGGAACAGAAGAAGCTTTGCCGGAAGCAGACTCCCCTAGTGGAGCAACAACCGCCCGGGCGCCAAAGAGCTCCCGGTTGGGTTACTGGAAAAGGGTCTCCCCAAACTTCTGCCCGGAAGAAGCCAACGGTGGCCACTTTGGCCGACAGCCTGGAGAAGTTGTCTCAGGCCTTGCCGGCCATCACCATACAGCTGCAGGATCTCAGTTCCCGCACTGCAGCGATCGAAGCCAATGTGGCCAACCCCCCAGACAAGTCATCCATCTTGAGGCAGCCCTTAAGCAGCTCAGCTTTGGTTGGATCATCGAATGTTGTGGGCCCCCAGGCCTTGGTCAAGGAGATGCCCCCACCGAGAAGTTTGTCAACACCCGCGAAGGTGGTGCCAAAGAATCTCTTCACCGAGAAGGAGACAAAAGAGATGGCCATGGACTTCCCCGAAAGCCCTGCCTTGGCGCAAGCAGTCTTGGAGCAATCCCGAGCCTTGACAGCTTTGGTTGCGCAGATGGCAAATGGCGACCGCAGTTTGGAGTTGCCTTCTGGGAGTGGGCTATCCAGCAGAGGTTCAATAGGGCGCGAAAAACTCAGGAACGAGTTAGCACAGCACAAGGGCACCTTCTTCACCAATGTGATCCAGAATATGTCCAGGAGGATGCACCCAACTATGCCTGCGGAGGTGGATGCGGCTGCATTGATCCAGCGTGGGGTTACACCACCCTTGTACCTGGAGCGCTTTGGGGGCTACGGGAGGACACGAGACCTGGGCTTCATCATCTGGCAGGTCTCAATTGCGATGGCCTACGTGCAGCAAGAGAACTTCCCAGCTGCCATGGACTCTCTGGCACTCCTCTTTGTTTGTCTGGAGCAATCGGCAATGGACAATGGGAGGATGGACCTTGGATTGACTTTGGCTTTGGTGGAGGACCCCCCACACTCCCTCTTCTCAGCCCGGTCCATTGCAGCTTCAGTGAACCCCAGACCATTTGCTCCGACGGCCAGCCAGAGGTGGGCGCCAGTGGCCCTGCAGTACTTGAAGGAGTCCGACACCATAGCCACACGGCGTCAGGAAGTGGCCTCAGCAAAAGCACCAGCAACCCCGAGCCCATAGACACCAGCCACCACAAACCCAAAGCCCAAGCCAAAGCGAAAAGCATGGGCAAAGGCAAAGCAAACAGGGCAACAGCAGGAACAGGAGGAGGAATAGACAGGTCCCTCTCTGTTGAGGTGAACCTATGTTCAGACCCGATCCTACCAATCTTTTCCAGAGGTTGAGGGTTCAGAGAGGCACCAGTGTAGGGATCGGGGTTCATCTCAGGAACAGAGCCGGCAAAATGCTCGAGCTCGACAAGACGCGCAATGAATTCAAAACCGGACCTGCCAGGAGCGACAGGGAATCGACCAGGAAGGTCACACGCAACCACAGTGCCCTGAGACGGCGAAAGACCGACAACTGCAAAGCATTGGGGCACCTCCCAAGTAAGTCCAAGTCAGGGAAGCGCAAGCCATTGTGGACAAAGTTAAGAGCCATGACCACGACATGAAGCGCACGCTGAAGACAAAGCTTCTTCCATTGAGTTGCACTGGTACTTGGGGACCCCTGGGGCTCAAAAAGTCCAAGGCGAGGAGCCGGCAGGGGAAAGATTGCGGAGGAAGGGCAGGAGCCCGTTCGTTTGACATGGAAAGACTTTGAAAGGAACGACCCAAAACGAGTCCGGGAACGAAGAACCCAACGAGGCAAAGAGGCAAGGAACTGCAGAAAGGAGATGTCTTCCGTCAGACGTGCTTCATAAGCCCAGTTCTCAGCTATTCAGCCCTACCGTTCCCTTGTCACTTCTAGACTGAAGATCTCGGGCACTGGACTTTGGCCCCTTGCTGACTTCCTTGATGGAATTTTATGGCTGCCGTACCAAGAACCTCTTGTGCTTGAGCACCATCAGGATGTGGTTTGGAGTGGGCCTGATTTGAAAGGTGAATCAAAGGAGGAGAACCTCGGCTCTTGCGTCTTTGGGATAGCCAGGGTTTGCTTGCATTGTTCAATGAGCCTCATCCTTCAGGTTTTGAGTGCCGTGTTTTCAATGCCCATAAGAATGAAAGCACTGACCGTCGGATTGGAGACAGAAGGTGGTTCAATGGAGGTGAGTATCACCCCCAAGCGCCCTCCCGTGACCTTCCAGGGGCGGCCAGCATGACCTCGTTGCACTGCCCGGTAGACCCTGGTAGGCTGCGTGTCAGACAGAAAAGACTTTTATCACCAAGCTGCAGTCACCAGACAGCGTGCTTTCTCAAACCTGATGCCCTTTGAGTATGACCCGAAGCTGTTTTCAGGTTCACAGGCTTTGCAAGAGTTGCTCGATGTCCTGAAGGAGCCCACCAGCCGTGAGGTGCATGGTGATCGTTTGCGTATGAAGCCTCGCTCTGTTCTGGTCGGTGACTTGGGTCCCGTGCGGGCTGGGTTTAAGACTCTGTTTCAAGGCGACCATCTTGGGGTTGAGTATGCTCTTCAAGGCCATATTGGACTTTTGGAATCTGCCGGCCTTTTGCATGAAGATGAAGTCGTCCGTAGCCACCAGCTGTTCCCTAGAGGCCCTGTTTGGCAAGGTTTGGTCATCGATGACTTCTTTTGTATTTCATGTGAGCCTTCCCATCAGAGCACTGAAGCAGCCGTGTCCGTCAGCCGTCTTGAAGCCGCCGAAAGGGCCTATGCACAGCATGAAGTCAGAGGCTCTGACGAAAAGACCATTCGAGGTGCCGAGATTTTTAAGGTCATTGGTGCCGAAATCAACTCAGGTGTGAAAGCGCGGAATGCTGGCCTTGTTGCAGTATCAGCCCCAATCAGCAAACGTATAGCATTGGCCTCACTTTCCTTGCGTGTTGCTGCCATGCCCATCATTTCTCGTGGTCTTGCGGCTAGGCTCAGTGGAAATTGGGTATCTGTGATGATGTTCCGTAGATGTCTCTCCTGTCTGTTGTCCAGGCTGTTTGCTTTTTGCAATAGGACCGCTGATGAAGGTGATGATATCATGAGATTGCCCCGGGATGTTGCAGAAGAGTTGGTCCTGTGCAGTGTCCTAAGTCTCGTCGCAGCCACCGATGTCTCTGTCCCATATGACCGTTTTGTTTATGCCACTGATGCCTCAAACTGCAAGGGTGCTGTAACCAAACTTGAAGCAGGGGCCCAGATGTCAGAGCTCCTTTGGCTTGGTGGTGATAGGAAAGGTTGTTACACTATGCTTGACAATCCAGCACGTGCCATACTGAGGAGCATAGGTGAAGAGGCAGAAGCTTGGACTCAGCATTTGTCTTCTCCAGCTCGCAACATTGACTTCCGGTTTGACATCGTTGAAATCTGCGGCGGGTCAGGTGTCCTCTCAGCTGCGCTTTCCAAGGCTGGATTGCATGTTTGTGTGCCCATTGATCTGTCGCGCAGCCCCCAATTTGATGTCACCAGCTTGCGGATGTTGGAATGGGTCATGTACATGCTGAAAGAGAAGAGGCTGAAGGCGGTAGTTTGTGAACCAGTCTGCACCACCTTCTCACCGGCTCAACACCCTGCCTCACGGGGGTACAGCTGTCCAGAGGGTTTTGACCGCTCTGACCCAAAAACCTTATTAGGGAACACCATTGCCTTCAGATGCCTCTGCATTGCTTGGTATGCATGGCGTGTTGGAGCAATTGCTCTTGTGGAGCAGCCGAGGCTTTCCAAAATGGCATGGCTTAGCGTGTGGCGTTATCTTTTGCAGATTGGATTTGCCGAAGCTATCACTGCAAGTTGTGTTTTTGGTTCCCCGCACCGGAAAGAGTTTCGCTTCCTTGGTTGTCATTTTGAAGTGCACAAGCTTGAGCGTCACTGTCCAGGGGGCCATCAGCATGTCCGCATAGAAGGCAAATATACCAAAGCCAGCTCTGTGTATGTCGACAAGCTTGCCAAGTTTTTAGCTGAAAACCTCGCTGCAGGGATCCGTAACCTTGATCTTGCCGAAGCTGATTGCCTTCAGGTCAAAGGTCTTGAAAGCGTTGTCATCAATGACTTGCTGCAATGCCCAGGTTGGTCTGTCGCCTCAGAGTGGTCCTGGCAGGGTCCTTGTCACATCAACGTCCTTGAAAGTCGGTCCTACGTTGAGCTGCTGAAACTTCTCCTCAGGCATGGGGGTGACCGTAGATTTGTTTCTTTGCTGGACTCTAGGGTTGCAAAGGGAGCACATGGAAAGGGCAGATCCTCGGCTGTTAGTCTTGCCCCTTCCCTGTACCGTGGATGCTGCCTTCAGATAGCAGGAAACTTGCATGGGTCACTTGGGTTTGCACCGACCCGCTTGAACACCGCCGATGCCCCTACCCGCGAAAAGGATCTGCCTTGTCCTGCAGATCACAGCGTTGTGGACTTCCTTCCTGTCAGTCAACTCTCCCATCTGCATGCCCTTCAGGTCTCCCGGCCTGTTGCTGGTTGGCTTCGACTCTGCATTCTCCTTGTTGTGCGTCCGAGGTGGTGAGGCAGATACAGGTTTTGGATTTCCAAGCATGCCGCCCTGCGGATTCCCGGGCTTTCCTGGTGAATTTTCGGTTGGACTTTTTGACCGTCTTGGTTCTGGCTTGTCCTTTGCCGTGTCTGCTGTGTCTGTCCTCCTTGGCGTTGGACTTCCCTGCGCTATCGCTGTGCTTGGAGTGACCTACCTTGGATTTTGCCTGGCTTTTGGACTTCCCAAGCCACTCTTCTCTGGCGTGCCCCGTTTTGGACTTCTGTGCGCCCTTCTGTGCTGCTGCTCCCTGCGTGTAAGTAGCCCCCAAATTAATTATAGTAAAGTTTGGGTTGGTCTCGCAGTTCCAAGCTTCAGTCATGGCATGCCTCTCAACCCTGGAAATGCAGATGAACAACAGAGGGCAAGACGACGTGCAGGTATCGTCTTGCAGGCTGACAGAGTAGTCCTCCAATCAACAAGGAGTCGTCGTGATGACCTTCTCACAGCGTTTGACCTCTGGCTTGCAGAAAACATGCAGGTCACACTGCATGAGTTGCTTTCTGGCAGGTATGATGCTGAGGCCATCTCAGATGCCCTGGTGTGTTATGGGAAAGAGCTGTACACAGCTGGAAAGGCGTATGGCAGATTCTCTGAAACCATCAATGGGATTACAGCGAGAAAGCCGGGTTTGCGTAGACAATTAGCTTCAGCGTGGGATCTGGCTTTCAATTGGGTCGTTGATGAGCCGCACGAGCACCACACAGCATTGCCCTTGACGATCATGCTGGCTTTGTCTGCACTTGCCCTCCTTTGGGGATGGGCTCGTGAGGCCAGCCTTATAATGTTGGGCTGGGCAGGTGTTCTTCGTGCGGGAGAGCTGTTTGCGGCTTTCAGGGCTGATTTGGTGCTGCCCAGAGATGCAGCCCCGGGCACCTATCATGCCCTTTTCAAGATTCGTCAGCCAAAAACTCGTGGCAGGGCTGCAAAACATCAAGCGGTTCGAATTGATCCATCTGACGTTGTGGCTCTGCTCTCAGCAGTCTTTGGGAACCTGAGCAGCGCTGAGCCCCTTTGGCCCCTGTCACCAGCAACCCTACGAAAGAGGTTCAGTCTTCTTCAAGCGTCACTTGGCCTGGGTCTCCAGACAAAGCCTGGTGGGATGCCCTTCTCCTTGGCTTCTCTTCGACCAGGTGGAGCCACATTTTGGCTTGACCAGACGCTGGACAGTGAGTTTGTTCGCAGGAAAGGACGCTGGATCAATTCGCGGGTGCTCGAAATCTACCTCCAAGAAGCTGCAGTTGCAACTTTTGCTGAAAGAATGACCGACCGAGGATTCCAGACGCAGAGTTGAAAGCCTTGTAGGTAGTTTCCCTCAGATTTTGCAGAAATCTATCTTTTTCAAGAACTGCTTCATTCCTGAAGCAACATGGCCAAAGTTGTGGTGAAGCGGGGATGTTGGGAATAATATGGCCTTTTTCCAGTGGCGCAACTTGTGTCTGCACCACCAGTACAGATGAGAGCCGTCAGGCAGACATGGAAAATGCGCAGCTTGAGCACTTGACCTCACTAAGTGCGAATGTGTAACGTTTCCTCTCAAGCTCTCCCTCCCTACTAGTGCCTAGTACCCCCCCAATGGCTCACCACTTTGGCCTTTTTCCAGTGGCGCAACTTGTGTCTGCACCACCAGTACAGATGAGAGCCGTCAGGCAGACATGGAAAATGTGCAGCTTGAGCACTTATATAACTATGAAGCAGCACAGTGTATGTTCCTCTATATGTTCCACTCATATCCCCATAGTATTGCCTCGTTTTCTACCCCTACCCAAATTCCATTAAAGCCCATTAAATCGCCATTAATTCACCATTCAACCACTGGTATAGAGCCTTGGCATTTCAGGTCACAGAGACTTGGCTCATGCCGCTGATCAACTCAGCCACGTGGCCTATTTTCCGCGCCGATTTTGGGCCCGCGATTTCGGGGGAAACAAAGAGAAACCATGGTGGAATGGTGGTTCACTATGTTTCACTCACGACAAGGGCAATCAAAACTTCTAAAGACGATGAAAACCATAGATTTAACCAGTGAAAACGCAGATGTCAAAATAAAAAGTCACAACCAGTTGAATAGTTAAAAGCAAAAATAACATTTAGCAACAAAAAGGAGATGTTAACCACAAAAAAATTGGAGAAGCATGTGATTTAACAAGTGTAAACATGCGGTTTAACGACCACCAAAAGTAGAGATTAAGCAGCCAAGACATGGCAATTTCAGCTATGCGATTCGGATTTGAAGGAACCATTAAAATTGATCCGTCCATATTCCCCATTGGAGAGCCACGGGGACTATGAGTTCATTTTTTTTAAGCATTTAATAGTAAAATCCATGGTGAAACCATCATGTTTCAGGGTCAAACCACCATTTTTGCTGGTAAAACTGCTTCAACTCCCATTTTTCCACGCTTAAACCATGTTAAACCACCATTTTTCCCATGGTTTTCCCAACGTTTTTCCCCATGGCGTCACCACGGCGTCACCAGGTCATCGAAGGCCTCGCGGGGGCGGGCAGCGGCTTCGGACGCTCCGCCTCAGTGCTGCGGGTGCTGAAGGTGCTGCGGGACCCTTGGCGAAGGTTGACGGTTCGTGTGTGTGTGTGAATATGGTTATATAATCTGATTATTCTACTTATAAACCTTAACTTAGAAAACACAAGTTAAAGTTCAATGGTTGATATGGTTTACGATAACTTTGGTTAACCTATGATTCTTTATGGTCTATATTATATCGTCTTAAAACTGATATAATATTTAGTTAATGTTTGCTATAGCTAATGGTTAGTTTTGGGGGATGGAATATGTACAAATAGCTATAGTTCAATGGTTGATATGGTGATATGGTTGATATGGATCTATGGTTAACCCATTGATATCAATGGTCGTATTTATCACTTGGGTTCAACCCATGGGTAAATATGGCGAATGTTAGTTGATTAATGTGGTTAATCTATGGTTCATCTATGGCTAATGGATTAATGTTAGTTAGTAAATGGACCAACCAAATATAGTTAATGGTCAATCTATGGTTAATGATGGATAGTTAAATATAGTGGATTAGCCCCAAAAATAGTTAGTTAATGTTAGCTAATCTTAGTCAATGGTTAATCCATGGCTAATGGTTAATTGCGGTGGTTTTAGACCAAATATAATTAGTTAATGTTAGTTTACATAGCTATGGTTTACATAGCTATGGTTCAATGGTTGACATAGTGAAAATTGATGGTAAATTAACCCATTAGCTAATGGTTCATCCATCGTTTTTAGTTCATAACCCATATCAATCCATGGTTAATTTAAGCAATTAATGTTAGGCATAGCTAACTGTTAATTTTGGAGAACATACAACTAATTGGTTAAGTTAAAGTTCAATGGTTGTTATGATCTGCTATAGCTATGGTTAACCTATGGTTCTATATGGTCTATATTATATTGTCTGAAAACTTATTCAATATTTAGTTAATGTTTGCTATAGCTAATGGTAAGTTTTGGGGGATGGAATATGTACAACTATAGTTCAATGGTTGATATGGTGATATGGTTAATATGGTCCTATGGTTAATCTATGGTTGTTATGGTTAATCTATGGTCAAATAAAAATATATATATATATGTCAATGGTTGATATGTTTAATCGATGTTTTTTGTTTATCTATAACTATGGCGGTGGAAAGGCGTGGACGAAAGTGGTGATGGAAACCATTAGTAACTAACGAGTGATTCATGATTAGTAATCATACTCGTGATGATTAATCATACTAGTAATTACTCAATACTGATTAGAATTATTAACTAATGATTTACCACTTGTTACTAACGATTATCATCAGTGATTTGCAATCATACTAATGATGATGAATGATTTACCCTTAATTACTAATCAATACTAGTGATTTAGCTTATGATTGTGGATTTGTTGAATGATTAGTATAATCATTAGTCACCCTTCAAAACATTTCAAACCATTATGAACAGCAACAATGATTAATCCTTAAACATGGTGTTTTGCTTACCCTATATATTTATTTTTTTATATTTGCATTTTTTGAGGGGGTATTTGGAGGGTCTGAGTGGTAACTATTAGTAGCCACCGAACATCAGATTTCGAGATTTGAGAGCAGCAAAGCACCGAAACCTCGATATTAACTATGAATAACCGGTAAAAAAATACGATTTGATCTATGGAAATGGTGGATGTTAACCACCAAACATTTGCAACCATATTAAGCAGTGAGAGAACATGCCATCAAACATTTGCAACCATGTCATTTAAGCAGTGAAAGAACATGATTGATCCGGTCAAAGACGGTATTTGCGCAGTGAGACATGGTGATTCACCTGTGAACAATTGTGAGTTAACCAGCGAAGAAAGTGGATGAACTTATAAACCATTGTATATGCATACATATTATCTATATACCTATGTATCTATTGTTCTATCTATCTAATCTAATTTGATCCTAGTTCTAAATCTAATCCAAGCTAATCTATCTATATCCCATGAAAACACCATCAATTGGGCTCGGGATGTTCCCAGCGTACCTTCACCACGGTGTTTCCTGTATTTCCCTCCGTGCCTTTTGGTGTCCCCAGGTCCTGCGGACGGCGCGGATTGTCCGTGTGGCACGCTACATGCCCGAGCTGATGATCCTCATCAAAGGTCTGCTGGCACCTTGGCGATCCGTCAATTCCCCAGATCCCTACACAGCAAGATCCGCAAGATCGCAATGCAAAGTCCAACTATGTCCAATTCGCATATGATTTGTATAAGATTATAAGTTACATGTTGGGATAGAGAATTCAAAATAAGATGGCACGTTTATCTATCTACCACTACCAGGCAGCAGGGTGGATTCCTTGAGGCTGATCATGGGCATGGCCAGACTTAGGTGGCTGCACGATCAGTCTTCTTCACGCTGGTCTTGCTACTGCTGGTCACCTATATTTTCAGCACCTTGGAGCGGGGAGATGCTGGAGATTCAGACCCCAAATGAATAAATGACCAGGATTTTTGATGGAAAGAATTGTCTTCCAAGCCCCCTTGGCACTATCTATTTTGGCCAAGGGTGGTGGGTTTCAGCGGGACTCGAGGATCGATGTTGACCAAGTCCCCGAAAAAGAGATGGTTACAGTTGCCTTTTCTTACTGGTGCTAAACGTAGGGAATGGATGGGTTGCTGGGGGTTGCTGGGATGATTATTAATGTAGGTTACAGATTAGTGTGGGGGGCCCCCCCCAAACAAAGTTAGGGTACAGAATACAAGAAAAACCAAGGTACCGGGTACAGAATACGGTGAAATCAAAAAAATGATAGATTTAAATTGATTTCAATTTACTTTCAATTGATTTCAATTTATTTTGAATTGATTTCAATTTACTTTGAATTGATTTCAATTTACTTTCAATTGATTTCAATTTATTTTGAATTGATTTGAAGTTACTTTGAATTGATTTCAATTTACTTTCAATTGATTTCAATTTATTTTGAATTGATTTGAAGTTACTTTGAATTGATTTCAATTTACTTTCAATTGATTCCAATTTATTTTGAAATGAGTTCAATTTACTTTCAATTGATTTCAATTTACTTTCAATTGATTTCAATTTATTTTGAATTGATTTCAAGTTACTTTGAATTGATTTCAATTTACTTTCAATTGATTTCAATTTACTTTCAATTGATTTGAAGTTACTTTGAATTGATTTCAATTTACTTTCAATTGATTTCAATTTACTTTCAATTGATTTGAAGTTACTTTGAATTGATTTCAATTTACTTTCAATTGATTTCAATTTATTTTGAATTGATTTCAATTTATTTTGAATTGATTTCAATTTACTTTCAATTGATTTCAATTTACTTTCAATTGATTTCAATTTACTTTCAATTGATTTCAATTTACTTTCAATTGATTTCAATTTATTTTCAATTGATTTCAATTTACTTTCAATTGATTTCAATTTACTTTCAATTGATTTGAAGTTACTTTCAATTGATTTCAATTTACTTTGAATTGATTTCAATTTACGTTGAATTGATTGCAATTTACTTTCAATTGATTTCAATTGATTTCAATTGATTTCAATTTTCTTTCAATTGATTTCAATTTACTTTGAATTGATTTCAGTTTACTTTGAATTGATTTCAATTTGATTTCAATTGATTTCAATTTACTGTCAATTTACTTTCAATCGACATCCCATAGAAATCCAATAGTAGTCCCAAAGAAATATCATAGAAATACCATGCAAATCCCATAGGAATCCCACAGAATCCCATAGAAAGATCATCTAGAAATAACATGGAATAGCATAGGAACCACAAAGAAATCCCATGAGAATTCCAATAATAATCCCATAGAAATATCATAGAAACATCATGGAAATACCTTGGAAATCCCACAGGAATCCAATAGAAATTCCATAGGAATCCAATAGAAACCCCATAGAAATATCATAGAAACATCATAGAAATACCATAGAAACCCAATAGGAATCCAATGGAAATCCCATAAGAACACCGTAGAAGTCCCATAGCATCCCTTCAGAAATCCCATAGAAATCCTCCAGAAATATCATAGAAACATCATGGAAATCCCATAGGAATTCCATAGAAATCCAATAGTAATACCATAGAAATACCATAAAAGAAAAAAAACTAGCAAAGGAAAAGGTAAAGGAAATGATTGCAAAAAAAAAATCACCCCAGGAAGCAGCACGACACAATAGTGTACCACCAAACAAACCACACTATTGTGTATCAGGGTTGCTCATGGACTACCCCCTTGAAAAATTGTTTGAGTGATGTTTTTTAATTGGGTTTTAATAAGGCATCATATATTTTGGGAAACTGGGCATTTCTGAGAATTTCAAATGAAAGAAACTAAGAAAGTAATTAAGTAATTAAAAGAAAAAAAACTTTAGCAAAGGAAAAGGTAAAGGAAATGATTGCAAAAAAAAAAAAAATCACCTCAGAAAGCAGCAGGACACAATAGTGTACCCTCCAAACAAACCCACTATTGTGTATCAGGGTTGCTCATGGACTACCCCCTTGAAAAATTGAGTGATGTGTTTTAATTGGGTTTTAATAAGGCATCATATATTTTGGAAACTGTAGAATTCAAATGAAAGAAACTAAGAAAGTTAAGTAATTAAAAGAAAAAACTTTAGCAAAGGAAAAGGTAAAGGAAATGATTGAAAAAATCAAAAAATCATGACCTCAGGAAGCAGCAGGACACAATAGTGTACCCTCAAACAAACCACACTATTGTGTATCAGGGTTGCTCATGGACTACCCCCTTGAAAAATTGTTTGAGTGATGTTTTTTAATTGGGTTTTAATAAGGCATCATATATTTTGGGAAACTGGGCATTTCTGAGAATTTTAAATGAAAGAAACTAAGAAAGTAATTAAGTAATTAAAAGAAAAAACTTTAGCAAAGGAAAAGGTAAAGGAAATGATTGAAAAAATCAAAAAATCATGACCTCAGGAAGCAGCAGGACACAATAGTGTACCCTCAAACAAACCACACTATTGTGTATCAGGGTTGCTCATGGACTACCCCCTTGAAAAATTGTTTGAGTGATGTTTTTAATTGGGTTTTAATAAGGTGTCATATATTTTGGGAAACTGGGCATTTCTGAGAATTTCAAATGAAAGAAACTAAGAAAGTAATTAAGTAATTAAAAGAAAAAACTTTAGCAAAGGAAAAGGTAAAGGAAATGATTGAAAAAAAAAAAATCATGACCTCAGGAAGCAGCAGGACACAATAGTGTACCCTCAAACAAACCACACTATTGTGTATCAGGGTTGCTCATGGACTACCCCCTTGAAAAATTGTTTGAGTGATGTTTTTTAATTGGGTTTTAATAAGGTGTCATATATTTTGGGAAGCTGGGCATTTCTGAGAATTTTAAATGAAAGAAGCTAAGAAAGTAATTAAGTAATTAAAATAAAAAACTTTAGCAAAGGAAAAGGTAAAGGAAATGATTGAAAAAATCAAAAAATCATGACCTCAGGAAGCAGCAGGACACAATAGTGTACCCTCCAAACAAACCACACTATTGGGTACCTGGATGTAATTTTCTGTGGAAGGCATCTGGAAAATTTCAATGATGGAAAATAAAAAGTAAAAGAAAAAAGCTTTAAACCATGAAAAAAATGAAAAATGTTTGAACAACAAAAAAAGACCAAGACACAATTGTGTATCCTGACACAATGACACAATTGTGTATCCTGACACAATTTTACAAAATAATAAAAAAATATAATTAAAATAAAAACAATTAAATTAAAAATTATTATAATTAAAAATAAAAATAAAAAATAAAAAATAATTTAAAATAAAACAAAAAATAATTAAATTAAAAATTATTATAATTAATTAAAAAGAATAAGAATTAATAATTTAAAATAAAATAAAAAATAATTAAATTAAAAATTATTATTATTAAAAATAAAAATAAAAAATATTTTAAAATAAAATAAAAACAATTAAAAACTAAAAACAAAAATTGAAAAAAAACTTACACCAAAATCCTGTGGACACAAAACTGCAAAACTGTACCCTCAAACATTTCCACAGTAACAAAATAATTTTGAGGTCTGTGGACACAATTCTGTATCCCCACACTAATCTGTATCCCACATTACTAGTGATTATGGCCATTCCCTCCCCAGTGGTTCCAAAGGGAATGCCAGATGTCATGACTGACATGGCAGCCCCCCAAAAGGATCAACCGCCCAAAAACGCCGCCGCAACAGGTATTACTTTCACCCAGCTGAGTCAAGACACGCCACTCAGTGAGCTGTTCCCGAAAGTGCCCACTACAGTATTGACGCTCAGATGCAAGGGGGCCACCGGGCCACGGATGTGCGTCCTTGCCGTTAGATTCACTAAGTAATATAGGGATGGATCATGGATCAAAACTTATAAAATGCCATACTGGGGGCCATGTACATCCAAAAATCACAGCTACTTTGGTTTTCACCAGGGTGCCATGGTTTCCATATACATGCACATGCTGGATGGTGGTTTCATTTTTTCACAATAAGCTTTATTTTCAACTATATTTGATATTCATGAAGAGCATATTTTCCAGATTGAACCCTCTAAATATAAATATGAATATACATATATATATATATCCGTGTGTGTGGGGGGGACGGAGCGCAGTAGCATTTGGGCTTATCAACCAACTACAAAAACTTGGAAGAGAAGGCCGGACCGGAAACAGGAGACCAAAATAATGGTCCCAAGGTGTGCCCCTGGCGGCGACCAGTTTCAACGCCCACAATGCTGATATTGTTTGTTGTAAAACATCACCTTTGAACTTAAACGGTTGAAGATGATTTCCCCAATGAATTAAAGTTGGGGGATTTTGATTTGGGACAGAGAGGAAAACCCGGGTAGAGGACTTGAGATCACCAGGCTTCACCACCTGATCCACTGAGGGAGTTGGTCCTGCAGGGAGTGATTCCAGACCAGGCAGGTTTCTTCACACAGGCAAGCGGGCACTGTCCGGGCTTAGTGCTTCATAATGGTGCTTTCTGCATGTGTTCTCAGGAATTATGTTTTGTTTTTTTTCCGGGACATTTGGCAGAACCAAAGTACAATGTTTCCTGTTTTATCAGAAGAATGTCATCAAATTGGAGATAAATCTCCAAGCGGTGAAAATCATTAGGGTTTGGGATTGCCATGGGCGTCGTTGAGATTCAACCAGCCCCCTCAAAGCTCAAGACTTGATTCTTACGTTTTGCCCTTGCTAGTGGTTGTTGGTAGTCAATGGGACCAAGACAGAAACCCTCATTTATTGTCCCCTTATGTTTCTAGTTGATTCCCTATGCACCATTCCTGCTGGTTGAATCACTGGTTTTGTTGGCTAAATCCCCATTTCTGTTAGTTAAATCCCCATAGTTGATGTAAACTCACCAGTTCGGCTGCCAAAATCATCAGCACTTCCGGAGTCGCTGCTGCCTGCTGCCGCTGTCACAGGTAGCCAATGAGAGTCCCCTCATGGGCGCCATGGTCTTGGTGTTCATTATGGTTGGCTCCCTGATAATCATGAACATGATTCTTGACCGAAACGACCCAAGGGGTGGGGTTTCCCCTGGGTTAAAAAGGATGCTTAAAATGGTTAAGATGGGCTACTTACTTTTATCTACATAATGGATTACACATGTGTTTGCCATATTGCATGGAGAAATGCATGGTATTTGTTCTTCAAACTTAGTTGTTTATTTGTACCGAAGGGTATTGTATTGTATCTAGCAAAAGGTTGGCCCAGTGACGATTGAGACTGGCAAGGAGACGTAGATATGCTCGTCAAAATCATAGTAAAACATGAAACCGCACCAGCATAGGAGACTAGTCACGTAGTAAACCATACACATTTCACCCGAAATGGGCTGTATAAACATATATAAGGTATAAATATGTATAAACCATCTTTTTTCCAAGATTGAAGGGGGTGGTTTCTTTTGGCCTTTTCAGTGGCCGCCCTTCGTTTGGATTCCCGAGAGTTGGGATCTAAGGGTCACCCAAGTGACGGACAAATAAACACAACGCGTCAACCTTGGTGATTTATCACCTTGGATGGATGGTGATACTTAATTTCAGGTGATTTATCAATAATCACCTTGGATATCCTTGGATGGATAGTCTAGTACGTTATACTTTCTTCGCAAGTTTCATGGGGCTATATACTGACCAGATCCAAGCAGGTTTCTCAAAAATGCAGGGCATGCAAGACTTGAAGATTGGCAAATTTCCAGGATCATCCCCAAGTTCCAGAAATCGTGGAAAATTTTACAGAAAACCTCCTATGTTTGGTGTTCAAAAGCAAGGGTGTCAACCATAAAATTCTTCCAGCAATCCACCGTCCCCAGAAGTCGCCAGCAAAAACAGTTTGCTATAAATGGCCCATTGAAATAGATGATGCATGATGATTTGCCTAGCTATAAGATTGTGATTTCCTATTAAATCCCAGTAGAATCCCATAAAACCACCGTAAATTCACCATAAAACAATATAAAACATGGAAATTTCCATAGCCAAGTTTCTTGGTGTTCAACGTTGATGCCAAGGTTGGTGGGTGTCTTGGTGGAAGCCGTTCAGACCGTGGCCAGCTGTGAGCACGAGCAGATCCACATTGACTTCGCGAAGCGGGTGCTCTTCGTGGCTGGGTCAAAGCAACGGGTCCGACGGGTCCCAGGGGATGAATAAAATGGTTATAAGAAATAGGTTACTGGTTGGTATATAATGGTTACTGGTTAGTGGTTTATTTGCCCATATATTGGGAATTTTATCATCCCAACTGACGAACTCCATCATTTTTCAGAGGGGTTGGTTGAAACCACCAACCAGGTTAATAATGTGGTTAAAGGGATGAGTCAATGTGGTTAAATAGGTTAAATTGTTAAAATGCTTATAATAAATGGTTATATCAAAGGGATGAATGAGTCGATGTGGTTTAAACATAGGTTCATAATGGTTTATGATGGTTAATAATAATCATTAATGATGCTTATTAGTGGTTAACGATGATCATCAATGTGGTTAAAACAGTGCCATAAACCACCCATGACTGGAAATGGTTTATACCACCCATAAAAATGGTGATTTGGGGGATGGATTATTATTGCTTTAACTACATTAATTAATGGTTATATCATGTTATATCCATAACGGCAAACAATAATTTTTAGTTCGAAGTAGGATAAGTAAATTCCAGTTCTAGTTTTGGGGTGTTGTGGTAAACCCAGTCATCAAGTAATCAACCATCCCTGGTAGAGGTGTTTCTGAAATTGGGGCCCTGCCCCGGGACCTGGGATGGATGGTTTACTATTGAGTTTACCCTCTGGTAAACTAACATAGCTATGGAAAACGGCCCATTTATAGATGGTTTACCTATTAAAAATGGTATTTTCTATAGCTATGTTAAATTACCAGAGGGTACCACATCAATGAGGTTATAGTTATACACATAATAGCAACGCATGTGCAATATTGGTAAGTACTGGAGAATTATTGAGCGGCTAGCAGAGGAAAACAGAACCTTCTGACACTGGGATTGACATAGAAAGAGCCTGGATTGTGTTTCCATCTATCTATAGAGAGAGAGAGAATATTTGATATAACTAAATAATTGAATATGTATATATGTCGTATATGATGATCCTTTAGTATCCTAGGGTGGAGATGGTTGGAAAGTGGATTCTTGCTTGCTGTGACTCAGTAAATTTTGGGATATGCATCAAGATCTCAAGATGCTCCACATGTTTTTACCCCAACAGTCAGCCACCGTATGGGTCAAGATCG